CATCTTCAGCCTCATGATCTTGGTCTTGAACACATGCTTTTTGAAAGGACCGCTCAGTCAGATTGACAGGTTCTTGATATGCTTCATGTCTGTATTCAATCTCATGGGTGAGTGGTCTACTTACACTCATCCACCTGGCCTATTTACATCCGCACCTCTCACCACCATCTTCACCATCTTGTCTCACAAGTAATAATCCACTCCCAACCCAATCCCCTCACACTGCTGCACCTCCCTCCACCCATTCTCCAGCCTGCTAGGCCAATCCAACACCTTCAACTTGACTCCCGCTCTCCTGCTGCTAGCCACCCACTCGCCCCTCTGCACCTCCCTCCACGTACTTTCAAAGCCCCTCGCTCTCAAGAACCCCTTCTCAGGATTCGGATCGCCCGTCCGGATGAAGCTCGCAAAGCTATCCAGCACGAACTGTTCAAACGGCAAATCCTTCTCGTCTCGCACGGGTAACCCCTGTCTAGCCAAGTTGCCAAAGACATAGTACAGCTCGCCCGAGTGGCATCGCAGATACGGCTTGCTCGGATCCCCAAACGGGTGCGACGCTGTCTTGGGAGGCTCGCACACGTCCAGGTTGGGCCAGCCGCCTGTCTGGTAGGTCCGGTCGAACTCATAGTAAAAAACACGCGAGAAGCGGTTGTTGGCCAACCCGGCTTGCACGGTGGCTTGGTCGATGCAACGGAACATGCCGTCGGTCGCGAGGCGAGAGGAGGAGTTGAAGAGGGCAAGGGTGCCGTTGGGGTTTGGCGGGATGGGGAAGAGGGATGGCGAGGCAAGGGAGGGAGAGAAGCCTTGGGAGAGCAGGTAGGCGGTTTGGTTGGTCGTGGACGGGTAGCTGATGAAGGGGGCGCCGTCATCGTGGGTTATGCCCATCATTAGGTCGATGCCGCTGGCGCCGGCGGTGCGGGAGAGGTCGAGCTCGGGGGAGACGAGGTAGGTACCATCGACGACGAGGTAGCGGGCTGCGGTACCTGAGATAAGCTTCTCCGCAGGGACCTGGCGCAGACAGGCTACGTCGGTGCAGTTGGTGGCAGCGAGGATGGCGTTACCGACTACGGCTGTCTCCTCGGCGATGGTGTAGTACCGGCTGTAGGTGGTACCGTAGTTGATACCACCAAGGTTGCTCAACGGAATGGCACCCCTAAACAAGCCCTTGGTCTTGGGGCTGGCCAGCAGCGCGCGAACGGAGCCAGCGCCAGCAGATTGCCCGAAGATAGTTACATGATCGGGGTCACCACCGAACTTGGCGATGTTTTCGCGCACCCACTGCAGAGCGGTGACCTGATCACCAAGGCCATAGTTGCCGTTGGTTTTTCCATCCGCGAGCGCAAGGAAGCCCAGGGTGGAAAGGCGGTAGTTGATAGCAACAACCACCACGTCTCCTCGCGAAGCCATATTACCGCCATCAAAGGTTGAATCAGAGGAAGTTCCACTAGTGAAGGCACCGCCATGGATCCAAACGGCTACCGGTCTCAAATCCTTCCTTTTCTTTTTATCACCGTCCTTGCCCTTTCCTTTCTTCCCACCATCGGCAGCTGCGGGAAGATAAGGAGTCCAAACATTCAGAAACAGACAGTCCTCACTTTGTCCCGCTCCTCCACCGCCTTGGACGCATTGGCTACCGTACTCCAACCCACTCACCTCCTTCTGCTTCTCCTTTCCACCATCTCCACGGTACAGGGTAGAGTAAGTGAACCTCTCCGGCTTAGGGGCGTACCGCAACCCCAGAAACCGGAAAGAAAGCCTATCCCTGAATCCAACGACCTTCTCATTGCCGTTCACCCCTTCCACACCAACCTGCCACTTTCCACTCTTGTCTTGAGCTTGGTTGTTGGAAAACGGCGCAGTCTGCGTACACAGGACCGGGTACTTGGCTGCCTGACCTTTGCCACTCCTCACTTCGGAGACGGAAATTCGGCCAGAAGGGGAAACGTCAATCACCCTCGGCACAGACGGGTTCCTGGGCGAAGGGGCGATCCACAGGGTTGTTATTCCGAGCGATGATGGTCTTCTGGAGCGGTAGATGAGGTAATCGAGGTTGGACTTGATGCTTGATGTGGAAATGAGCTCGGGAGAGTGGAGTGATTCGCCCAGAGAGGAGCAGGACTGGGAAGCTTGGGAGAAGGCAAGTGAGTTGGAAAGGAGGAGGACGGAGGCGTTGGCAGACGGGCTGGAGGGGCCTGCACTTGTCAGCGTCGAGTCTGGGCCCAAAAGGAAGGGTGAGTATACCTTGGAGGTCATTGTTGACAATGACAGTGAGATCGGAGTCAAGGGTGTTGGGAGATGGCGGGCTGCTGCTAGCTGCTGCGGTGAGAGGGACCGAGGAGAGGAGGGTTGAGAGAATGGCTCCCCAAAGGGTAGAAGTGGTCACCATCTTGACCTGCCTCTTCGCTGGCTTATGAAGGCGCGTACAACACAGGTCAGTGGAGAAAAGAAGGTAAGTGGAACAAACTTAACCTCATCGTTATGCTAATGGGAATAAGTATCTTAAATACAACCGTCCGAACTACCCGGATCACCATCGTCCCGGATACGATCTACATCATCGGTACCGTCATCCTGGTTCCAGGTTCAGACTGCCGGACAACGAGTGTGGTTGAAATCCGGGGAAATAACATGAGGTTCACCAACCGACGACCACAACCGCAGCCGGTCACCCGGTGTAGGTAGTTACTGTGGGCCGTTCTGCGGAGAGGGCCAATCCAGGAAATGCCAGTCAGTTAAAAGTTCTAGAGATCCTCACTCACAACTACCGAGCTACCTGGATGACGTAGGACAAGGTGAAGATGGGGCCAAAGCTCGTGTGCTTTTAGCCTAAATAATTCTCCCTGCTTTCTCCTCTTCCCTCTCCGCGGCACAATTTGAGGTAGACGGCGAGGAGACGAGGAGTAAGTTGGGGATGTATCCGCTTCTGCTAGCAGAAACCATTGAGAACGGCACGCAATGGGAGAGAGAACAGCGGCGCTGTCCCGAAATGCCGAAGAACTTTGTGTTGTGCGCAAAAGAGGACCTTCCTGGTCGAAGGTACAAGATGCCGTGTCCGTACTGTACCGGAGTTGAATGTGTGTTACGTCTGTCAATTGGCTGTGCATACGTCTTTGCATTGAGTTTTTAGTGAATGCCTTCCAGTTGAGGTATTCCTGTTCATTGCTTTCTGATGACAATTTTTCAACCCTCAACGTGGCTCTATAACCTTCTGCTTTTAATAATCACAACACATACGACCATACCCACTGGAAAACTCGGGATCCCGTCCGCTCTCCCATAGATAAGCCAGTGAGGGCCAGACTAGTAGTTGGGTCGGTGACGACCAGCGAATCCCTGGTGTTGTATGTTTTTGATCCTTTTTGTGTTTTTGATCTTCTGTTCTTTTTGACCCGTTTCAGTCGTCCATCCTTTCTTCTTTTCTCATGTACGTGCCATTCAAACATTCTAATTTTAATTCACGATGCCGGCAAAACAACCTGTGACTGCCTGCCGAAGTATGGATGTTGAAAGCATTAGCGTACTTTGCCATTGGCAAGTGGTCTCTCATGCTCATCGGAAATTAGATGTTACATCTACTACCAATCAGCCAAAACCGTAAAGTTATGGGGGGCGCTCCTTGACTCAATTTGGTAGCTATAGCGACATGCATCACTAGATCCAAGATGGATGAAGCCACTGGAAAAACAAGAGGCCTGTTCGAGTTGATGTGAATCGGTTTTAGATGAAGAAAATACCCAAGGAAACATCGTGCCGCAATACAAACCATATACCGAAGGCCCAAAGAATGATCATGATAAATATTTTCCACCTCTCCGCACAATGGTGTACCTACCTCGTGTGCCACCGAGCAGCACCCGTCTGTCTTGTGGTGCACAACATGGTTGATGGGGTACACAAGTCTGGTCAGCCGCACTTTGGAGGAGCACAAAGAGTGAATTGGCGAGATCACGATTCAGAACCTCTTTTCGCCAAGTCATCATCTCTAACTCATCGTCTTCGCCAGAGCACAATCAAGGGAGTTTTGTCATTTCAAATCAAAGTTTCTGGTGCGCTCGCTGGATCGGGTAACCTCCCCCCAGACGAGGCAGCGTAGGCGCGGCAAAGCACTCTTGCTATTGGTAACCTTTCAGCGCTTGTTTCACCTTTAGTGGTCCACTAAGACCCTAACTGGTCAGGTACACAAACAAAATCTGAGGCAACGAAGTGCGAACTAGCTTGTCTTATTGGTATGTGTCCATTGTAGGATCGTTCGTGTATAGTGGGCTGTAGTGGTTTTTTTTTTTTTTTTTTTGTTTTTTTTTTTTTTTTTTGTTTTTTTTTTGGCTGTCCAGGTGACTAGAATCTGGCGTTCTTGATGTCAAAACCTACAACGCAACAACATGTACACATGGTCAAAGAAAGAAACCCCATCGTCAAGTTGGGCAGTCCTGTTCTATTATCCAGAGGTGAATCGTGTGTCAGCGCTATGGCAATTATCGTAAAGATCACCAATCAGAGAGACACGTAGCCGGGCGTAAGATCTCCTTGTTGTCGTGTAAGGGTAAGCGAACCCCGAGCTGGATCTTGGTGAGAGCCCTGCAGGAAGGACCGAAGAGCAGGATCGCCAGAAAAGCTTGTTTTGATAGGCTCTCGTCAGTTACCACCAACATGTTTTGTCCGCAATGTTGGGGATGGGTGCAGTAGCTCAAGCGCCCACTCAGCCAGACGTTATCTTAATGTCTACCGTGTACAACCTACTGCATAGCACATGGTTGTAGTCACGGTGGATCCTCGGACTTTCTGCTTGTCATTTGCACTCAGTTCCTTCAGCCCTGAGGATCTTTTTCTTCCCCTTTCCCATGCATCCATCTTTCTGTCTCCAAACAATCCCAAACAGGCTTTCATATGTGAAGGATGAAGCAAAGCCGATAGCATCCAGTTCCTGGCTTGGCGACAACAGCAAGATTATCTGCGTAGTTGACGCTCACTCCGAGTCTGTGTTACGAACAGCAACAACAACAACAAGAACAACCTTAACCCAACCTCCTCAGAACAATGGAAGACAGATCCAGCCGGGCGGCCGCGAACGCCCCCGAGCTAGCACCCTGGGAACATGCTCCTTACCAAGGCATTGAACGAGCTCCCTCTCCTCATGATCATCCTTCATCATTGCAACAGTTACATCACCCAGAAGGCCAACCAGGCCTAGAACCCGCTCCGCACTCCACCCTCGAAGTCAGCCCTCACCAAGTCCAAGACGATAAGCTATCCTCCTATGAGCCAACATCCACCATCTCGAGCGCCTCTCCATACCAGGCATACATCCTTGCTAAACCGTACGGAGATTCACAATATGGGAACATTGGCTCGGTACCTGGGATAAATACGGTTGCGGAATCAACCGCAGCCGGGATAAACGACAAGGAAGCTGGTAATGGCGACGGGGATGACAACGGCAAAAATAAGCGCTACTGTTGTGGCCTGGGGACTAAAAGACAGGTGGCTTGGTGGTTGTTGGCGATTGGGATTTTCCTGATTGTGGTTGGAGTCGCGGTGGGGGTGGGGGTGGGTGTTGGTGCTGGGAAGGGGGGTGGTAAGAAGGATGAGAATAGGTGAGTTTGTTCTTTTCTTTTTTTTTTTTTTTTCTTTGCCTTTGAAGGTTGATGCAGGTTGAGGAAACATGACCGTTAGAACATGAACGGCCGGGGTAGGCTCGGGACGTGACTTACTCCACCTTTCCTGCCTTGGGCCCTCCGGGTCGGAGACGGGACGGGGCGGTGGTTGAGTCGTCTTCGCTGTCCTTGGCCGGGCCTGTCCCGTTCGTCTCCTATCTTACATCTCCCCACCCCAAAATCGTTTTTCGGTTCATCACTAACTAGCTGCATTTCTCTCAGCCCGACGCCAACCACAACAACAACAACAACAACCACCGCCCACCCCTCCTGGACACACACAGCCAACCTCCCCCCACCCACCGCCTACGCCACTATCACCCCTTCAACATCCATCATCTGCCCCAATAACAACCTGACCCTGTATGCGCCTTCCAACGATACTGTGACCACATCGTCCAGCCACGGGAAGGGCTATCTATTGCTTTGCGACCGAGACTACAACTCGCTAGCCGGAGCCGAGGAGATCACGCACCGGGAGTCCGACTCGATCGAGACGTGCATTGATCGGTGCGCCGAGGTGGACAATTGTATCGGGGCTGGGTGGGGGAATTATAATGGGAAACAAACTTGCTGGTTAAAGAGTCGCTTGGGACATCCTGGGTGGACGCCGGGGTGGTATATGGCCGTTAGGGAGGATGCGGTTTTGCATGATGGGACTGAGGGTGGGTTGACGGGGGATACGGAAACGGGGTAATACCGAGGCTCTGGGATTTCGAGTATGGGATTGGACTTTTGATAATGAGTCAGGAAGGAAAATCATGAAATACAAAACCTCTTCCGAATATGTGGCATGTGCGCAATTAACTTTGGGGCACGGTGTTTTGGACGATGATATGGTTGTGGTAGTCAAGAATTATGAAAGATTACGAAACTGGTAGAGTACCTCTACGTAAAGTAAATCGCAGGGTGCGCATATGTCTTCCCCTTCGCAAACATCAATTAAAACAAAACAAAACAAAACAAAACAGGCGGCCGCTAATAAAACACAACTTGCCAAAAACAACCCGCGTTTCTCACACACCCACAAACCCCCACAATTCACTTCTTCAACTTCAGCACCACCCAGGCAGCCAACCTCCACCCAACAATGATACAAAACATAATACCAATATCCCTCCCCTGCTTGCCTGGCTTATACCCATACTGATCCAACACGCCCTGCCCCCTAATCAGACACTGATCCGCCAAATCAGTCTGGAACATGCACTGGCAATTGCTCCCATTCACACCCGTCATTCCCTCGGGCAATTTTCCACACGTATACACCCGATCCTTGAACTCGTTAATCATCATGTTTTCAAACACATACTTCTGATAGTCCCAGTAATGGAACACGTATTTGTAAAACACGTTCAAGATCGTCGGCTGCACCATGAACCCATCGACGCTCATCCACAGGCCATTGGCGAAGGCGACCAAGGCAAGGGAGATAACGAAGGAGGGGAAGAGCGAGGACATAAACACCACCAGACTTTCTGCTGCCAAAAGGTCGCAGAAGAGCCAGAATACCCAGGTGAAGAAGGCAGTCGCTGTGGGCTGGAAGTTAACAAGCCAGTAGGAGATGACGGAGAACAGCAACGAAAAACCAAAGAGGTAGGGGATGCCGATCAGGAAGTTGGAGATGATCAGGGCTGTAGGGCCGTAGAGCCCGTTGCGACGTTCTTTGACGTATTGGAAGTAATCTTCGAGCCAGACAGGACAGTAGGCGACAGCCATGAAGGACATGAAGGCGGATCCGCTGTTGGTAACAAGGCCACTGTTAGCACGGAGATAAGAGAATAAATGGTAAAAGAAAGCAAGACTTACAAGAACAGAGCGTTGATGAAAGGAATGATAGACTCTTGGGCAGCATCCAGTCTCACCCAGACCGTACCAACCATGATGGCGAGACCAAAGTACATCGCTGCCCTGATGCCATACGCCACTACGTCTCGATAACTCTTGACGAAACTCCGATGGAGTAGTGTTGCCGTACTACCGATTAAGCCCGGCTTTCCCCCAAGTCCGGCGGTAGAGGTATCAACTTGCTCACCACCTCTAGCTTCTGCCTCGGCTACCGCGGCAGTTAACTGTTTCGATCTCTCAGATCCTTGCCAAGCAGTCTGCATGTCATCCAAAGCCTTGAATGCCTCCTCGCGCTCGGAAGCAAAGTCGATGTTGACCAAGTCAAGCAGGAACTCGGCTGGATTGACATGAAGCGGCACCTCGTGCCCCAAGGCCTCATAGTGCTCCGTAACGCCCGCAACAGGGCCGAAGTAGTGCATCTTGCCAGCGGAAAGGAGCATGAGTTTATCAAAGAGATTGAACGTCGCTGTGGAGGGCTGGTGAATCGAAGCAATGACGATCAACTGTTTTTGTTTCTGTTAGCCACGATTTCCCTGGACTAGGTAAATATCAGCACAAGGAAGGAGCCTCACATTGTTCCTCCTCGCAACCTCCTTTAAATACTTGACCACTTCCCACCCGGCCTTACTATCCAACCCACTCGTCGGCTCATCCAGAAACAGAATTCTCGGACTGGTGATCAACTGACTTGCCACGCTCACCCTCCTCTTCTGCCCACCACTGATTCCCTTGCGAATCGGCGTGCCGATCAGCGCATCCTTCTGCCCTCTCAGCCCAAGAGCATCAAGTAATCCTTCAATCCTGGCAATTCTCTCCCTCTTGGGGAGAACCTTGGACGAGCTGGCAAGTCGAAACGAGAAGTCGAGAGTCTCCCTCACTGTGAGCGACCCGATCAAAGTATCTTCCTGCTCGACGAAGCGGGTGATCTCACGAAAGGTAGAGGTGGAAGTGGGTTGGCCGTTGATGAGGACAGACCCGGAGGTAGTGGTGCCACCGCCGGAGGCGGAAGGGAGGGGGCGGGACGCGAGGAAGTTGAGTAGAGTGGTCTTGCCGGATCCTGAAGGGCCCATGCAGGCTAGGATCTCGCCTGGTGGAGGGGAAAAAAAAACAAGAGGTGTTAGTGGATTAGGCATTGAGTGAGGTGCGTAGAGAGGGAATGGGAAGACATACCGGCTTCTACGATACCCTCCACATTGTCGACAATGTTCTTTGGTTCCTTCGTCTCTCTGTCCTTGACTGTTACCGTGACGCCCTTCCAGCTGATGTTCTTCACCGTGGTGTTGACGAGATGGGATTCGGCAACGGCGTGTCGTTCGATATCAATGCCTTCGACGACGGCATTCTTCCGCTCGACGTTGGTACTGTGCTCGGAGGACGAGCTGGAGATACCCATTGTTGTTGTAGTTGTTGAACGGTATGATTGGTAGTAGTGAAGTGATGAAGCAACTCAAGACTCTGAATTCACGATATCCCGAACAAAACAACAAAGATCAACAGATACCTGACAACCGGACTTTTCCACAAAAACACATTCCATCTCTTTGGGGGTTCGAATCCGACCTTTATATGGATCGTCCAGCGTCCACATCTCAACCCCCCATTCCAGTGAAGACAAGGCTACGAAGACAGACAAGCCATCCCAAGAAGCCCGATGCAGCTTATTTCTGCCACAAACCTCGCCGACCAGTGCGACCCGAAACAATGGCATCCATACCACCTATACGGTCCCTGGTACACGGAGTGTGATACCGCCAATAACCCAGGGGACATGGAATTGGAATGGGGGGAGCATTGTCTGTCCATCTTCCGAAAAGGAAAAGAGTTACCCATCCAAGCCCTCCCTTCCCTATTGGTCGCAGCGCGCTTACAAGATACATATCAGCTCCCTCAGATACCCCCGTGCCCTAGCCGTTCTACATAGTACCCTGCAGTACCGTGCTACTACCGACTGTTTTGGCGGCGAAGAGATAAAGCGAGGGAATGGAAAGTGACTCCCATTCAGTAAGTTATTCCCACACACTGTTGTCAGCGCATAGACGTTCTTTCTTAGTACTTACATACATAGTAAATCCCGTCCTCTTGTTCCTTGTTCCTTACTCCGTCCGGTTTGACAAGTGAGACAAAGCCCGATACTTTTCTTTTCTCCTCTCTGCTCTCTGTACATACCGTACCGTGTCTCTTTTCCGTGTATGCCCTGTCTCGGGTATGGCTGGAGCGATTCATGTTTCTTTAGTGACTGGCTGGCATCCCGTGTTTCTCGTACTCCTCCTCACGATAAAAATCGTTCCACCGCTTGGGGGTTTCTGTAAAACCTCATCACCGGTGGTGATGTTTGCTTCCTTCAAGCACCGAGCGCCACCAAATTCTCTCTCGAGAATGGACTGTCTGCCATCCTTCGCTCGCTTGTAGCAGGGAAAGGAAAGTAGTTTGCTATGTATCGAAACAAGATGGCTCACCTATGCCTTTCTTGTTTGGCTGATCGTGTCTTGGCTGATCTCGAAAAAGAAAAGCACTGCATGCAGCTAGCTCTAGCTCCCGGATGAGGATCAACGTTTGGTAGGTGTCAAGATTGCATTTTTGGCGGTTCGCATTTTGCATCGTGCAAGTGGAAGGCGCAAGCAAAGCTGTCTTGTTTGTGTGGTTCTTAGCAAATGATGATGGCGAGGGCAACGACGATGATCCAGACGTTAGTCATTCAGCTTCGTCTGTTCATCGTGAGAAAAAAACAAGGATAAAAAAAAAGGATTAATAAATACCTCGTTGTGAGGAGGTTGATTCCCGGTCCGAACAGAACCAGGGTGTACTGAACACACCTATCCCTTAACGAAAGCAACCTTTTTCAGGGGCGGTACAAGAGGGTGGTAGTGGATGGCGGACGGCATTTGGGGGCGTTTTCTTGGCTCGACTTGGCTTTGCCGATTCTCTTTGCTTTTCGATAACTTGTCTCTTTCTTGTCTTTCATCGATATGCAAGCGCCATCGTATGATCAATTCCGCATCTACATGAAGCCTTTCTGAACAAACATTGAGGCTTGAACAGGTAGACCGTACAATCAAGACCCTAAAGATCGGCGTCCAACTGTGTTGATTGATATCCAGGCAGATTGTGTACTCCATCTGCAAAAGTGGAAAAGCATGACCCGTTGACTTGCGAGTCGGACTAAATCCGATCCAATCACGTATCATCAGGCCGAGCCCCGGAGTATCTATAATACTGTGGCATTGCTTTTTGCGTCGTCGAGCTTGGATGTAGCAAGATGGGCTGATCAGTTACCAGTTGTATGGTTGATGATCGAAAAAGAGAGATGTTGAACTGATACGTTCATACATTAAATCCAGATCCCCGACACTGTGATCTGTAACAATTGTTCAGGCGGGTTGCCCGTGTTTGTTTGATTAAGTGCTTCTCTTGCCCCCAGAAACTACACTAGATTAGTGTTCTCGTCATCCGATCGACCAAGTACTCTTCTTTCTTTCTTCTTCCCCCTTCCCTCTTGTCTTGTGTCAGCTTGTCTTGTCTGATGAAGATCGTGTTGTACGTAGGCCGAAATTCAACCCTCCCCTAGGAATTGGGAGTCGGGAGCCAAGCGACACAAACCCTCAAGCTCTCTCCCTACCTTTCACCAGAACGGCAATTCAAGTCCAGCAGGTGCACAATCACCTCAGGTTACATTCCTTTCTGTATCGCAGCCTGAAGCCTTACGAAGTTAGCTGTCAACAATGCTACCTGGCGCTAAATCAAAATTTCCTGGTGTTGGGCCAGCGTTATGGTTCAAGGCTTCATGCTCATCATCAAGCTAGGTCGTAAAACTCCAAAGACAGCAAATAAACTCCGCAAAAAGGACAGAAACTGGCTGTATCTGGCTTGGTATTCCATTCAACGTGATTTCCATCCATCCAGTCATAGCATCCCTACCACAAAGCAAGAGTTTCCTTGAAGCTGACTTGACGCTCTCAATGATAAGGTAGGTACGTAAGACATGTTCAGCATCTCTGAAGTCTCTCCGAATGTTACGAGGTAATGATTCGCTTATAATTCAGTACAAAGTTGCGTTGGCGGCTGAGCATACTGAGCCGATCACTGTTGTGCCGCTGATGTTGACGGCGACTGGATGGCGAGATGGTGTTGCACTCGGGGTTCAACGCTACGCTGAGATGATGCCCTTGCAAGGCGTAGGTAGGTCTGCGTGTAGCGTGGCAGATTGGGGTCACGTCGATTTTGATGGATGTTGCCGATTAAGTCTTATTCCACATACGTTTTAAGAGAATGGTTCGGGGTCTCGGTGTTGTGTACAGGCGGGGTTCAAGATATGAATGGAGGAAAGATTGGGTTCATGAGGCTCTCGATAATCATGACGAGCATTGCCGACATCCAACGATCGATATCACCCAAGACAGAACAAGGCACTACTGGTAGTTCTTCGTCCACACCACCACCACATTGTCTCTTCGGCGAAACATGCCTGTTTCAACCTTTTAATCCCGAGACGACCCTAGGTGGGTATCACAAACCCTCCCACCTTTCCAGATTGCAGCAACCGGATCCCGAACGGCGAAGGCGGGCGGCTGACAACCATATGTCCCATGTGGGTTGTCATCATCTCGTCGAGTCTGTTGCGCCGTATACACAAGGGTAATTCCGCGAAAGTACAGACGGAAGGGTATGGTGAAGTGAAGTGAAAATGCCACTCATCAGCATGATCGCTGGGAGGCGGTCATCATTCCGTTGCCTGTCATCTCACGGTCGCCTTGAAATCAAATGTAACTCAGTTATGTTGACGTCGCCGAGCATTATCCCCGGGCGGACTCGAGATTCGGCGAAGAGATGCCGGCTTTTCAGGTATCAAGGTAGTTTTAGCCTCTGAGGTTGGACTCGCTAGGGCTTCGGCCCTCTAGTGTAGATGCTCGGTACACTGCCGGAAGACGGCTATGTCTTGCGAGTTCACGCTACACTAGTAACCGAACGAACGAAGGATCGCGAGGCTTTAGCGACTGGCAAGTGGCGATGCTAACAGTAGGTACCCGACGTGACTTCGTCTTCACCAACGCACAAGATGCCCGTTGTCGCTGTGACCATCCTGACTCGGTCGCCGTATAGCTCTCGGCGAAGAGACCGTGCAACGTATATCTTCTCCATCCTGATAGATATTGAAGCCCAAGACAGACTTGAGGGAGCCAAGTGCGTCGCAATCTTGATTTGTCTTCGGTGAATTTGTTCGCGATGTTACCCAACGACTCTCTGATCTTCAACAACTCGACAACACAATGCAACCCGGAGAAGTCTTCCGCGTTGTTGCCGACTTCCCAGGTTCCAGCCTTATGATCGGTCCAGCACCTTGGGATTGACCCCGTAGCATCCCCTGACATCGGAGCACGCGGGGATACACATGCCCGCAATAATAAGCCGAATATCCAATGGTAGAGTCCGGACTCTGACCCTCTCAGTTCGGCGAGGAGCCCATGTGGCAAAACTATCGGCGAACTATCGGCGAACGGTTAGTTATCCGGGGATTTGGTAGTATCCCCACCGAAAAGCGAACGCCGAACCCCCCCGTTCGAGAGACCGATAACCAATCGTGATATTTACTAGGATATTTTATGTAACCCAAAACTATGTCCAAGCAACCAAGCGAGCCCAAGCGTACTGTAACTACCTTACTTGCTCGCAAGGTACTGCACTCTTGAAGGCGCGCGCCCAGACACGCCCCTGTTGGCCTTGTCGTCGTTTTGAAAATCCAAAGCCCAGAGCTGACTATTTAAGTACAAGACCCTCCTGCCTTTCTACCCGCTTTGCAACTACCAAGATTATTTTATACCATCCACTTGCGATTTCTCTTTGAACCCCTCATCCCAAACCAAGCCAAGACGCATCACCTTATTGACGCCATTAGCTCACTGAGCTTGGGTGACGCCAACTTGAGCAATGCCAACTTGAGCAATCAGCCCCTGGTCGAACTCGCTTATGATGCTCTCGTCCGCCTGAATCGATGTCATCATCTGTTCCTGGGTATAGCCGACCCAGAAAGCCGGGGTGATCTGCTGCACCTTCTTTTGGCGGTAGATCTCCTGCGCCACGCCCTTGACCTGGCCCCAAGCCGTATTGGCCGCCTTCCAGACCTTACTGAGCTTGTTGAGGGCGCCAATGTTCAGCCGGATTTGCTGGCGGAGGTCGGCCTCATCTTCTATCATGTAGAGGGCCCATTTGGACAGGTGGACGATGGAAGAGAGGGTTACGACGCACGTGAAGAAGTGCGTATGGCTGGTCACGGGAACAGCTTGCGTGATCATCTTGCTGATCTCGCAGGCCGCCGTGACAGTGTGCTTAGTATGGGCGTTGTATTGATCGCCTGAGTGGACGGGCCTGTGAGGCGCGCAAGAGTTGACGGCTTGGACTGGCGAAGAGTCAAGCTGGGAAAGAGGCTGGTGGAGCATAATGGTGCACCTATGGGTTGTGAAGGGCATCAGTACACATTTTCCTGAACATGGCTTTGTTGGGATTGGTGCAGTGATGACTTACGCATGGGTGATAAAGTGCGCTTGGAACATCATCTCATCAAGCTGGCAATTCTTATCGAGATCATCCCTCTTGTTATCCGGAAGATGCATTCTCCAATTGGACAGATGTGCCTCCATCTTGTCCACCTCTGCCGCATCCGGGAACATGACGTTCGGCATCCGCATCATCCTGCCCAGATTTCTGGCTGCGGCAACACGATACGCAAATGATGAGAACTCTCGGTCTTCGTCCTGGAACTCCTTATCGTCAAAGTCCTCAAGACTCATCGGTGAAGGGATGCACTGAAAACAATTCCAGGTTAGTCAACATTCAAATATCGGTATCTCATTGCTGTTGGGAAAACACATACCCCTTTGTGGTACTCCTCCTCCTCGCAGGGAAGGCCAACATCGGTCATGATATCAAACAACAGAAAGTTGGTCACCCGGTGAACACCAGCAATCATGCCATCGCAGACATAGAGATCCCACCAGGTTCGCCGCCAACTTTCCTCCATGATCGGATCGCCTCGGCCATGCATGACAGCAAATTCCCGCTTGTTAAGGTCAATTTCGATGGCATATCTTTCACAAATAGCAAGGAGTTCCCGAGCTCTTTCTTGCTCGCAACTGCCGTCCAACCCAATGATGATAAGCAGGAGCGCCTGGATCAAGAATCCGTCCTTGCGCACACCCGGGGCGTAACACAGCTGAATGGCTTCATCCAGAAATCTGGCCTTGGCAGGGCCTGCATCAACGTAAAGTGAACCAATATATCTCATGGCGGCCATCAATACTGGAAGGTTTGGCTCTGAGTTGCTCTTGAGCAATTCAACCAAGTTCCTCTTGGGCAAGACGAACGGATGACCGGCGTGGAAATAGTGGTAGAAAGCCTCGAAACAACGCTCTGGCAAACTTGCTGCTGGAGGCTGGATGGGCGGAGCGGCCTGTGTCGCCAATGTCATAGCGGTGCCGTCCATCATATAGTTGTTCCTGTAGACGGGGATGCTCGCAACGGAGGGGGTTGACGGGAAGGAGAGCTGCGACTGGTCCGGCAAAACGACGGAAGGGTTGAAGGCATGAACCGAGGGTGTGGCCATGGTAACAGGCGCATGCCCCAACATCATGGGGCAGCTGTCAGGAGTAGTTCCCGCGTAAGGGGGCGATGAGGACGCATGTCGCTTATTGGGATTGGCACCGGGAGTAGGGTTATTGGGGTTTCTACGAGGGCCTTTGTACCCACGGCGCGAAGCAATATAGGCACAGTCGGCGACGATGCCGGTCGCGGTGCAACGGCCACACGGGTGATTTCCATCGCATCTGAGATGTTTGGTTCGCTATATATGGCCGAGGTTTTGTTAGCCCACGGGCCACCAAATTTTTTTTGTTTTATTTTATTTTTTTTATTTTTTCAAGGAAACAGTGTTGTGATCTGGAATAACAAACTCACACAAGGGAGACACGCCGCTGGAACGGAAGGAGGAGGTACTGATGGCTGTGATGTCGTCGTAGCCACCGACCCGTTCCGGACAGTGCCCGAGGTCGCCGTCCCCGGGCTGTTGCTAGACACTGCGGGCGAGCTGCTACTGGAGGTGCCGTTGCAGTGTGGGGCTTCGGGCGAGAAGGGCTCCATTGTCGGCAATCCGTCTGGCTAAATTTCAGAGTGAAATCGGCGACGTTGGGGGGTTGTGCTTGCTGGTGTGTCTCGTGCTAGTCAAAGGACGAGTCGATGCGATGGGATGGAAGCCGATGTGACGAGCGGAGAAATCGAACGATGGACGTGTTTTAGCTCGGGTCGGGTGGTGATGTTTGTATCGAAACCGAGTACGATGTACCGGCTGCTAGCTTGGCTATAGACGCTGGTTCGGCTTGTCTTGGCCTGATAGGACCATCCGGCGCCCACTAAAGCTGCAATATAACTTGGCCCGGGAAATTGGATAATTGATATGGCGTGGCGTGGTCTCCTCGAGCACGTCCCGAGCACAGAAACTTAGCGAAGATGTGCTGGATCTGAAGAACGTCTTCTCGAGTGGTCGCGCCTGGATGAAGTCGGCTTGTTAGCATTTAGCTAGGCCTACGAGGATTCCTCGGCGGTTCCGACAACGTGGGTGCGTATGGGACTATGGGTATCTCCCGAGAGGCTTGTATTCGCGTCTTGACCTTGGTTGGCGTGCTCTGCCCTGTCTCAGCTTGTCCCTGCGCGGCGGAACCCTAAACTCTGTCTGTTCGGGTAGCTCCATCTTGTGGGGTAACTGCTTCATCGCCCCCAGGAAAATCCCGCCACAGACTTCGTCCGCCGGCCACGACCTACCATGGAACTATCTATTCGAATACACAGACATAGGGTTCTTTTGCTAGGAATTCCAGTTGGTTCTTACCTTGCTCGCTGCTTGGAAAATTGTCTCGGAGAACGGATATCGTATTTTCGGCGAGATAATACGGTCCGTGGATTGTGGTACCAGCTCGGAGTTGAGACTGAGGGGTTGCGTTGTTTTTCTGGGAGGACCCTGGGATTTGCGGGCAGGGGGCTTGAAGATAGAAATGAGACAAAGAAGCCGGACAGGCCTGGCCTCATGCCCTGTTTATGTTTCTTTGGACAATTGACCGTTGAAGCCATTTCAGATACGTTCAGAGAGGAAAAAGAAAGCAATCGGCATGTGCATGCATGCGTCAACCCCCTTTCAACCCATCGCCGAGTCAAGACCGTCAAATGCCAAGTCCGATATTCTTCAACCTTCGAATCACGGCCTCGCCAGGAGCCAGGCCGGTGAATTCGACGGCTTGTTGGCCAACGACAACTAGTGGGAACTAGTCCGGAGTTTGACTGAGCGAGTTTCCCTATGGCGCCTGATAACGGCTCGCAACGTTGAGAAAGAGGCGTGCATCGGGTCCTGGGCACCAATGTGTAAAGCGGAACAGTCAACGGTGCATACGCCTCGTTGACTATTTTCTTGTTGTTTTCTTTCTTTTTTCGGACAACGGTATCCCCGCGCCGAAGACAAAAGGCCAAAAGTAGGCTCAGAGGGTTGACGAAGATGGGGGTTCAAGCCTACCAACCGAAACAACAACAACTGGGCACACGCAATTGGCGGAGCAGACCCGCCCTTGCAGGTCAAACAATGGCTGCTACAACACTGGCAGATGAACAACAGCCAGACCCTCAGCGGGCTCGGTCTTGGCCGGTGATGATTTGGGGGTCCTCGAAAGGGTGTTACGGATAGGGTGGACAGTCCGGCAACGGGCACGCCTGGCACGCTGGACAAGCACGTTGAGCGCTTCATCGTCGGCGATGCCCAGTGTTTTGCAAAGATGAGCGACAGAAGAAGGCCAAGCGACAAGGATTTGAAAAGAATTCATGATTACCAGAATCAGGCGTCTCGTGGTGGCTATGACCTGCATCGTTGCATGAGGTTGCAGTTCAAGGGGTCCCATGGGACTGCCCACGTTGCAAAATGGCCGAAGGATGCGTCTGCCAGCCTTTGGACCGCCATGCCTTTGGGTACCGGTGTGCGGCGCCGCAGTGGGCTACACGTGTACAGTACACTACATAGGGGAGTCGGACGATGACCCGCCTGCTGCGCCGGTGCTTCCGTGCTCCCACACTCCGTGGAACAGAAAAACGCGTAATAGACTTGTGGACCCACGGACCCGGCCGTCGGACCGTGACCGGACTCTGACCAAACGGTGGCGGGAAGGGCCGAACCTACGTGTGGTTGGTTCCGAGGTCTTGGGTGGTTGAGGAGGGAATATCCCAACTGCCACCACCTTCTGCGATTACGATGTCGTATAACTCGGAGTGATTGTGCGTATGTTCCTCCATGAAAAGCTGGAATATAAACGTCGGGTAACGCGCCTGAAAAAGGCCATGTATGAGGTGGTTTTTATGACAGCTCAGCGGCCAGAAGTGGTGGCGGGGAGCCCTGGAATGCCAGCCACTACTTCTGAATCCAGCTGTTAGTGTAACTATTCCGATACCCGACTCTCTCGAGGTCGGAAAAGAGGGAAGTAGACGGCGGAAAGTACTTGTAGGTATACGTACCTCGGCTGGTGATCCTTGAGAAGACTACTTGGTTATGTCTTGGGAAGGATGGAAAATGCAAATCCCATTCTCAAATTCTCTCGATACCTTTAGTAGAAAGTGGGATGGGCGGTACCTCTTGGTGGGGTCGGGTTCAAGGGACGCGAGGACCTCAGGACAGTGACCCTCCAGCTGGAGACCCCGCCGTGGGTGTGCCATCATCATCACAACTTTCAGCAATATACATCATGATACGTTCCTGGAAAAGGGTAGGTGATGTGATGGATGAAACAAGCTACCGTAAGAGGTCAACCGGTTTTGGTCCCAGATCGACGCGAGGAGGGAAATGCAGTTTGTCGAACTGTAGCTGAAATATCTCGAAGCAAAGAAGCGGTGGGGTACTGTACCCATTGAACGGTCCCTGTTTGTCATTTCGGTAATCTGGTCCCGATGGTGTGGGACAAACTTTGTGGCGATGATGCTGTACATAATGAGTTGACGATGTCGTGGGGTATGTGGAGTTGTTTAAGCGATGGATGGAGAGAACAAGATTTCATTTACTTCCACCAAGAATGGGGGTGTGAACTGAAGGCACCTAGTCTAATTGTTAGGGCATGTTCGCATACTTAGAATTGCACCTGCCACTTGAATTTCCTCAAACATTCGGCCTTCACCCATTTGACACCCGACGGAAGGTACGGGAAGGCTTTGCCCGCTGCGGGTTGATAGATGGATGTTCTTTCCCTGCCTGCCTGCCTGCTTTTGACCCTCTCTTCACAAACAAAAGAACAGCTGTGCACGGGCCTCTACAAGCCTTAGCTTAGCTTCGCTTTTTAGGGCTCGGGCAATAGAGTTGGATTTCCCAAACTGGACATGATCCTCTTCAACTTCTTGAGGAGATGTGTGTGCTCACAGCTTTTAACCATCGACTCACAATCTCGGAGGCGACAAGCACACAGCATCATGGATACTGTTTATTCGCTTTTGACGGGTCTCAACAAGGAACTTGTGCTAAGTTCTGACACTTTAGCTATGGTAACTCGAGACTCGGCGCTTCCGTCTTCATCATCATCGCCATTTCGATGACTGGAATGCGGCTTATAGCCAGGCTGTCCGAGCCAAATGATTTCCATCATTCTTTGCAGTCCTACCTAGCACGTTTGCAACCTTTGTCTTCGTGCTTCGCCATACGGCATATCCCTAGCGTAATGCTTCGCCATCGCGCATCTTGAAACAGTGGGTTGAAGCCCATGGATGCTTGTGATTGGAGACAGTTGGCGATGGCTTGACTATAGTGGGGGGTGTCATTCGCTAGTGGAACATCACATCATGTCTTGGTGGTGCTGCGGCTTGCCTAGGGGCTGAGGGGCTGGTGAATCCCGAACCGCTTCTTTTCAGATCTAGCATCTTGATGGTTTTCGATTCGTGGTCATCTCGGTGTTCATTCAACTGCCCTCGAGTTTGGCCATTTACCGGGGTAAAGGTGTGGAAAAGCGGCCATTAACACATATCTCAGGGTGCATTTTTATCAATACTCGCAACATCCCGCCCATTGAGATTATCCTCTCTTGGGCTCCGACAATACTTCAGCCCGTCCAACCAAGAGAGAACAAGAATAGCCAAGTCTTCACTCTGGCAAGATGGATCCAGTCACAGCCGCAGGGCTGGCCATCAGCGTCGCCTCAATAGGATTGCAGGTGTATACCGGATGTGTTCAAGGCATCCAGCTGCTCATCACGGCCTTGAACATGCCAGAGGACTGCAAGTACCTCAACCTGCGGCTACGGATGGAGCAGCAGAGACTCTTTGCATGGAGTGAAACATCGGGCTTGGTTGACCTTGACGGCAACAACCAGAAAAGGATCCTCGAGTCCAACACCTTCATCCTCCATCGGCAAACTGTCCTTGACCTGCTGGTCCAGGTCGAGTGCCTGTTCAAGGAGTTCAAAGAACACCAAAAGAAGAACAAGTGTCTCCAGGTTGCTTCTGATCCCGACAATGTTCTGTTGAACCCTGAACGCGATGCCGCCGAGGCAAACTTTCCCTTGCCTGAACGAAGGAGAAACTTCATCAAAAAAGCCATGGCAAGTCTCCGTGACACTTCCAAAGAGGTGACAACGAGGCTAAAGTGGGTATCCTTCGACAAAGTAGCCTTTGAGCTGTTGCTCTCGCGCTTTTCCGCCTTGAACGACAACATGACCAATATTCTCGACGCTCGCATGCAAGTCGAGATCCATCATACCGTCCAGGACACCAACAGAGGGGTCCTTCAGCTGCATCATAAGATCGCAGATCTCTCAAGGCTCGTCATGGCACTAAACGTCAAACTCGAAGCCAACTCTCCTACGACTCCCATCTCGCAAATGTCGGCAGAGCAAAGGCGAGCCAATGCTCAGGGGCTGCAGCTGCTTTCCCAGCTAGCCAAGTTCAAGGCCTTCAACGAGTCTATCGAGCCTGAAAAGAAATCCACCCCCACTCCCTGGGATGAAGCGACGGCCATGTTCCTTGAACTAGGCAAGCCAAACACACAAAAAGACCTCTTCCTCGACCGCTCCATGATACGGCTCGATTCCGATAACGAAGACTCGGACTTGCCAAGATGTGAAGCGACTCTCCAACTGCCAGGCGGTGCTCAGAAGAAGGTCTGGATAGAGTGGAAGGATTATGATCGTCAACGACCAGATGATCTCTCACCACCCAAGGAAGTCATTTTCGAACGAGTCAGGAAGCTGGCGGCGCTTCTGAACCACACACCCAAGCCAGAAGAGTTCCGAACCCCCCACTGTCTCGGCTTCTTTGACAAAGCGGCTGGCATCAACGGCGCGGAAGATGACGATGATATCCGCAACATGCGATTGGGTCTGGTGTTTGAGAGGCCACAAGAAGACGACCTACATACGTCTCTGCCACCAGTATCGCTTCATGATCTGCTGGAGACAAGCCGCAAGCCTCGCGTTACGGATCGAATCAGGCTTGCCCATGCCATCAGCAACTGTCTTTTTTACCTTCATGCGGTGAACTGGCTGCACAAAGGGCTTCGCAGCCAAAATATCATCTTCTTCCGAACCAGCAGCGGTCATGTCGACTATTCCAAACCATTTCTCTCTGGTTTTGACTTTTCGAGGCCCGCTCGTGCTGACGAGGAGACGGATATCCCCGATGACGCCGAACACAACCTGTATCGCCACCCTCTTGCCCAGTCGACAGATCCAGAAGACCGCGAACGGTTCAAAAGAAGCTTTGACATCTACAGCTTGGGGGTTGTTCTTGTCGAAATAGCTCACTGGGCAACCATCGACACGGTCCTCGACATCAATATCAACGAGGCCAGAGTAAGGCCCTCGATTGCACTAAAGGTGCGTGATAACCTGCTTGCTGAGGATAGCATTGCCGAGCTTGGGGCTACCATGGGAGAGATATATGAGCATGCTGCTCGCAAGTGCATTGCTGGTGGCCAGGAGCTGGGTCTATCAGAAGGCGATGAGGAAACCAACGACGCAGTCGCCGCCCGACTCTCGATGGTGCTCCACGAAGATGTCGTCAAGCGACTAGGCGATATCCATGTGTAAAAAAGAGTTCTCAGAGGCGTGAGGCGACGCAAATAAAAGCCACAAGTTCTTGATGCACCGACCTTTTGAGCAAAACACCGAATCAACAAAAAATTCCAAGACAAATGCGCGACGATTTACATAGTGGCCATCGGCACTTTTATACTCGCAGAGGGAGATGTCTATACCAAGCCACGAATGCCGATTGTCCAATAGACGACCTGAAAATATCTCGGCATTTGGTTTCCTAGTAGCGTCCCAAGAAGTAGTATGTTGGTGGCGTAGAGCACTTGGAGAACTTCAAGTAGCTGATGATGTTCCAAAGCGCACTCCACAAACCACACATTATAGAATCCGCAAAAAGTAGACCTGGAAACGTGAAAGAAAGGAAAACAGTCCCGTATGTGGGTAAGCGGGTCTTTTCTTAAGTGGAAATTTGACATTGCAAATGCGAGGAATGCTGAAATTCTTCCTGCCCAGTGATAATCTCATCACTTAATGCTCCTTCAATCCAAAGTTGACGATCACTACTAAGATACACTGTAATTGGACGTGACAACGCACCATAATAGGTCCTGTCATTGCGTCTCCCTCAATGAACTCATCTTTCTGCGGCGCCGATGCCTGGGAGAATATCTATGGCAACAAGGTGAGCTACTGTACATCCTCGATCAACAAAACTACCGACATTCTCACCTTGGCGCTCCTCGTTCATCAGTGACCCCATTTCAGGATTGGGTTCCTCGTTGTGAGCTGAAGAATGAGACAAGAAAAACAGCGAGGAAGGTACGATGAGAAAGCAACTCGGGGTTTGAGAATCTGGAAGAAGCGAAGTGAGAGATGGTGTTGGACATGCAGTTTCATATATGAACCGACGATATGTACTCAGCCGCCGCCATGTTCTATGCTTCAGAGAAGAGAAATCAAACCCATTTACACCGTTTCATACAAATCATCTAGGTCATAACATGAACATGACATCGTAACATCATAAACCGTAACCAGGAAGTACAAGTAACCTGCTCGCTTCCTTTATATAACTCCGCGATGAACCCGCTTAAACGAAATGTCCAATGCCACCAACTGAGATAACCGGAAAAAAAAATAGCCAATTCGCAAATCAAACCCAAGCTGCGAGCTCATAGAACCTTCTATCTAAATCCCCAAATAACTGCCATGGTATCGAAGAAGGGACCAAAAAAATTTGTCCAACAAGATGAGAAGAGTCGTAAGTCGTCAAGAACCCATCCCCATTCCCAAGAAGAAGAAAAGTGCCCTTGTACAAAAACAAGCCTCTAGAAAGAACAAAACCGGTATATCCGCCCATGCCATCCTCAGTATATGATACTGTTGATCTCATATCCAGCCCCTAAACTTTTTAAACTCGAAAACTTTTCTTTCCAAGAGTCCCAACCATTGCTTTTGCCACCCAGTTCCCATTTTTCCTTTCCTTTGTACATTCGGCACGGTCAACAAAAAACTTTTATCTTTCCCTCGTCCCCTGATCTCAATTTCTTCAACTTCGTTTGCCGGATACCCCTAAGGTGACGCATCAGCGCCCCTGACAGTCTACTCCATGACCTCTGGTCCGGCGTCAATGCGCTGGAGTCTCAAGTAGGTCCATGGAGCCCATCAGACCTTGTCCATATCTCCTCACTCCGGGCACAACAATGGCTCATGGGCCGGCCTCAACTCGGCGCGGCGAGGTGGCTAGCCCGTCACAGCTTTGTGGCGGGGAGTGGTCCAGTGCCGTCATTCGTTTGACGTTGACTGGTTCAAGTGACCTAGCACTTGAAGAGATCGTAGACACAAAGTCCAGGAGGCTATTCCAGAAAGTTGGTTTGTGGTTTTGCATTCTGACATAGTGTCTAATCGTTCAGTTAGTAAATGGTCCGTGATTTCTGAAATGCCGATTGTGAACTTACCAGAACGTTCACATCTTCCAGCTGCGGGGCTGAACACCGTTAGAAAGGGCTTGATGAAGCTTGCCCATGGCGGCCAAGTGCTCCTGAGCATCCTTGATGTACTGAAGGCTTTGGGGGTCCTCGGGCTGAAGGTATTCCTGAAAAATGCTCTGGAGAGCCTTCTGGTGCTCGCTCCATTGAGCACGGTGAACATCGGCCTGGGCCTCAGCCTTGCTAATCTTGTTGGCTGACTTGCGGGAGCTGGTCTTTTCCTGTGCTTCCTGTTTATCACCCTCGCTCTTTCTCTTGCGACCCCGGGAAGAAGCACTGGCTCCCGATGGGGGAGGAGAAGAAGCGGCCTGGGCAGCAGAGCCGTTATCGTTGTGAACACGCCTCATGTGGTCCCTCAAGTTCCATTGGCGGGGGAAGCCATGTCCAGGAAGTGAGCGTTCACATCCCTCATAAGTGCAGAGATAGGGCTTCTCTCCATGTCCGTGCATGGCGTGGGCCTCACGCTCATGACGAAGAAGGCAAGCAGTAGAAGAGAAACGGGCGTTCTGGCATCCTTCAACCTTGCAGCGGTAGGGCTTGAGGTGAGAGTCAACGAACTTGCTGTAACGGTGGATGATGGTCAGTCAAGTGGCCCGTAGTAAAAGCGGAAGAACAGAATTATCTTACTCATAGTTGCACTTGAGCTTCTCGGGCTTGTGGTTGCAGTTGGTCTCACCCTCCCATGGGCAGTGGAAAAGACCATCGGCTTGCGGAAGAGCGTTCTTGTAGAGATAGTGATCCCTGGCAGACTCACCATCACCGCTCATACGGCGAGCGCCGAAAGAAGGAGGAAGAGAAAAGGCATCGTCAATAGCAGGAATCACATTTCCATGGATATCCTCAGTGGTAACGAACTGCGAACCGTTGCGGCTCATCCTGATGTTTCCATAAGGGTAAGAGAGTGTCCCGGAAGAAGGCAAAACTTCGGTAGCAACATACCTGGGCGATTGGCCGGCAAGAATGGGCGAGATAGAGCTTGTGCTCTCCTCGGGAGAAGAGCCAGAAGGAACACCAGAGAAGACATCCCCCTCGAAGAATCCAGGGGAAGACATGCGCGAAGAGCCAACAGGGCTAGGAGAGCCCCAAGACTGAGGAGAGCTACCAATCATACCGGCAGTGAAGATCTGGGGGTTCACATGCTGGCTCATAGCAGAAGCACCCATCTCGGCGGAGAAAGGAAGACCATCCGGCATGCCCATCATGCTGGTGTAGAATGCTGGGTGTCCATTGAATGATTCAAAATCCGGAGTAGAGAACTGGGGTACATCCATGATGCGGCCATGTGTCAATGAGGCATCCTGATAGCTGGAGCCATTTCCAGAGACATCAAGCTTGGACAACGCCGAGGAGGTCGAGGTGAGATGAACTGATGGAACTCTCGACCTTCCTACCCTCTTGGTCGGGGGTGTCGACTTGGTGATCCTTTGCTTGTGGCTGCTGGTAGAGCTCTGGGAAGTCATGCGGCGCATAGGCTCCGCCTTTGGAACCTTGTCAACCGCGGCAGCAGCAGCATTCCACCTGGCTTGATAGTCCTCCATGGTTTCCGTTTGATCCGGCCTTGGTGTGTTCTGGCTGAAAGGAATAAAGCAGTCCTCGGCATCTCCAGTGGTATAATAGTCTCCGGCAACAGTGAATTCGGAAAAGTTCTGTGGACCTTCCGTTGTCGCATCCCAAGACGAACCGTTCAGGTCCGCTGGTCCTGTTTGGCAGAAAGAAAACATCCCAGTAGTGGAGGGAAGCATGTTGGTTTGAGCAAAGCTGTAATCGCTGGGGAAGGGTTAGTATGCTATCAAAACAAATCCGGTTGTTGAAGTCGCAGAAACATGAAAGACCAAAGAAAAGCCGGCGTCCAGATGTCACAACTTTGTTCCTGCACATTGCTGCATGTTAGTTTTTGCGTCGCGGGTCAAAGGGGGGTAAGCATGATTACGGACCAACTGGGCTGCCAAAGCAGTGTGTTTCTGGCTGTTACGCCATCCAGATTCATGGAGGACTTTGAACAAAGAAAGAAAAACAGAAAACATCTGGGCATATCCAGTCCATGTCGGTTGACCAGGTCCGCAATGGCAACAAAAGAAACAAATCCGGCGTCAAAACCATGGGTCGAAATGTGTCCAGGAGTGAAAGTCCAAGGCTGTACCGTCACACGACTCCTGTCTGATACAATAACATCAGAAACTGAGAACGTGTTTAGGTGTTGTCGGAGAATCCAGGGGCTCTTGATTGTCGAGAATAAAAAATCCAGGCATGCCGACGGATGATCCACAAAGGTCCTCTCGTTAAATCCAGGCGAGTGTAATGAGAGGAAAATGGCGTCCCAGTTTTGGATGCTGGGCGAGTGACCGAAGGCGATTGATGCGACATCTCTTTGGCACCTCAAATCCCATTGCGAATAACTGCAAGGGTAAGGAACACAAACGAGGACGCTGCATGCAAAGGCAGAAAAATGAAGAAATCCTGGCGTAAAGGTGATGTCCTTTTGGAAATCCTCGACTGTGACCGGTTGTTTGGCGTCTCCTTGATCCTTTGAACAGAAAAAGCAAAAATCCGAACGGAAAATCCACAGATGTTTGTCCGGCAAGGTGAAGTGGTCCAGCGGCGATCAATGGCGAATGTTCTTGTCCGATAAAATGTGAGATGCTTGATTTGTCTGGTTGTCCGATACTCACCACAAGATGCTCCGAAGAGACATGCAAATAATATAACAGGAGAACATGCGTGCATGAAAGCAGCAGTTCGTCAGACTCAGTGAAGAGTCGAGTCCTTTGGTGGTTCAGTCCATGGCGAAAACGAAATCCGGCAGTGTCTCGTCCGATGTGTTTCCTGTGATCCTCTGGGTCATATCCATGAAAACGGCTTTCCATAGGCAATTCAGTAGTCCTCAGAACGGATATTTGTCAAGTCTCCTTTGGCCGAAGACACCTCAAGCGCAGCCTGACTGAGGCGTTGCTGTGGCGAAGTTGTTGTCGCAACGGTAAACACACAGAACGCCAGAACAAATGAAAAAAGACAAGACTTGACACACAACAGGATGAAAACGCAAAAGAAACGCAAAAAAAGCACAATGGGCCTCCCAGGTAGAAGATAAGAAAGCAGCGCAAAATACCTCGAGGGGGTGTGAACCTCGTCCAGCTCAACGTGGGTGTTGTAGCCAGACATTGTGTTATCAGAAGTCCGGGGCACAACAATGGCAGTCATTCCTCGGGCTGTGTGTCCAGTTGTCCTGTGGTGGCAACGCTCTCCAGCAGTAACTCTGAGTAAATAACACTCGGAGCAGAGAGCAGAGAGTAGAGAGAAGAGTCCTGTGGGCTGAAAGTCCTTGTGGCTTGAATGGAGAGTGAAGAGAGAAAAGGTCCTTTGGGCTCGAAACTGGAGTGTGTCGCGAGACTCAACCTTGGGCTGTCGTGGAACACCAGGGCAGAGCGGGAAAGAAGTCCTTGATCCTGTGTGGGTCGTAGATCTGTTGATCTCTAGTAGCTTTCTCTTTTGGAGTGTAAAACACCAGAACAGAAAGGGAAGAGACGCAAGATGACGAGATGAGGGGGAGGCAAGAGCTTGTATAAGAAGCTGAGGAAGGCGGGATCCGAAGAAGCGTCGAGAAGGATTGCCGTGGATCCGGATTTGGTGTGAGTGGTTCCGTCCTTGGTTGTGTGTGTGCGTGTGGTCCAGGGCTGAGTGAGTCCAGTGAGGGCGTAGAGCAGCGGGCGCTTGGTGGTTGGCTGAGAGGGTCGTTGGGCACAAATCCAAGACGGGTTGGGCTTCCAAGAAAGTGCGGTGAGGAAATTTGGTCGAGGAAAGAGCAGCTGATGGGCAGGCGAGGGGGAAAAAGTCTGGTTTTAATGTCGAGCAGAACGGCCGCTCCTTCCCCTCGTTGCTCCTGGTTTTTCTCTTTCTTTTCCTGCGACCACCAGTGAGAAAGCGAAGCTCATTCCGTGCAGCCTCCTTCCTCATCGCAATGATCCCTTGGTCCTCTCAACCCCGGTCCCTTTGCACCCTCTCACACACCCCCCCTGGTTGCGAGCAGAGTGGTCGTCCAACTCATTCGCATGAGGCTTTGCATTGCAGGGGAGCATCCATGGCATTGCACCAAGACCACACCAGTGAGGTGCAGAACATTGCATACCCCACTTTTCCCGCTCTGCCTCTACTCAGCTGCCTGCTGGGCTGTTGCTGTTGCTGTTGCTGTTGCTGCCGCTGCTGCTCCCGTTGTTGCGTCCGTCCGTTTCCATGCCTGCCTGTGAAATGCATCGATCCAGAACACTGACACCGAGACACTAACACGAGAAACTGAATCGCAAAATTGAGCTGCGCCAATCCCAACTCCAAACAACCAAACTGAACTCTCCCGTCACCACTGCACTTTCCCACAGCCTCGTCCTTCACTTCAGTTTCTCACTTCACCTTCCCACTTCCCCCTCTTTTCCCAACCTCACACCTCCTCCGCAATAATTGCACTTCTGCACCCGGCAGACCTGTCACAATCAAAAGTGCGGAAAAAGCTGAGCTGGCACCACATTCGGCTGCACGTGCAATAGGCCGCGGCTGACGAGACCCGGCGTGATGGTCATGGTCCGGCGTCTGACTGGCCTGTTATCCTGTTTTCCGGCGATGCGACAAGCGATGGAAGAGAAACATGGAGGGTCTGCCAGCGGGGCCAAGCATGCCTCCCCGGCCTATCATGCCCGGTGACGATGGTTAGCCTGCAACCAGGGTCGTCTTTGAGACGGCATTGGCTGCTATCGCTGGAATTGGCTGCAGCACATGGCTTGCCAACTTGCCAACACATCAGTGCAGATAGCCCCCAGCCCACTTGTTTTCACTGGAAGGAGGGGTCTGACTCCGGGGTGTCAGGGTGTGTTTTGCGCGAATTGCGAATTATGCCTCCCACAACACCACCATCGCCCGTCATCCAGTTCGATATCACACACGCCCTTGGCTGTGACAAGATAACCGGGTGATGAGACAAAAAAGAAATTGAGGCTGATGAAATTATGGGGGGTGGTTTGCCGGGAGATGATGATGCAACAGGAATACGAACAACAAATATCCAGAGAGGCCGGCTATACCGATCAAAAGACACGCCGGGCCTGCCAATATCAGTATCCCGGACAATTGCGATCTTCAACCGTGAGCCGAGTAATCTCATGGTACTCAGCAGACCAACGACAAAAAAAAAAAAATCTGATAGATTCGAAACTTCGAAAGCTGTCTCTTCTCCCATCAATCTGCGAAACGCGATCCGGAATCTGATCAAAATCTGCATGCTATGATGGAGCACATTGCGGAAATGTTTCAAAAGTTTCGGCATCCAACGCATGCGCCGCTGCAATGGTAATCGCGCTGCACTGACAACGCTCAAAGCCAGATCTAACCCCCGCCTTGGGTGGTGGTCTGCTCGGGATGCCTGCAGAAAGTGGAAGACTGCCTCGTTGACAACTCATCAAGAAGCTTGGAACTGAGGAGAAGAGCAGCCTCTTCGCAACTGGTTTCACCAAGTGCGTGCTCACCCAATAGCTGGCCCGCATATCGAAGAAACCGAATGAGAGGCTTCCCTTCTAGCCAATATTGTTCCAGCACTCCTTCCACAAGCCATCTTGGCAACCTGAATGGACAGCCATGCACCACTGAAGAAAGAGATGCCCTTCCGACATGAACCAGTCTCGAGGGCCGGATGGACAAACAGAAATGACAGCGGCACACAATCGTCTGATGGTTATTGCTGACTATCGGCCTGCCGTGTCTGCTGCTGCAAAGAGGCCGTCTGTCTGTTGATGGTTGTGTCGATGTCTGGTCGTCCGGCCGTCTAAATGGACGGAACTGCTCGCGGCGACGACGTCGTCCGATATCAATTCGACGACTTATCGCTCTGACATGCATTGAGCCGCTTCCTGCACTGCCAGCGTGTAATGCAACCGCCTTAGTTTTCTTGAGGATTTTTCAAAGCCGCATCAACATGATGCTAATCCCCCCCACAGTCTCCACGACGGCCGTCACTGGCACCCTCCTCGGCATGGAATTTCCCGACAGCCTCAAACCGCAACATCTGAGTGGCATATCTTGATCTTATCTGCGCTCAATGTTTACCAATGTCTGCCACTGTTTGTCTCACGAGATAAGCTGGTTGGGCTTCACTTACCTGACCGCAATGGCGATGCGACAAATGAGGCAATATAATGGTCGCGAATACCATGGTGCCATTGACCAAGAGAGCGCCGATTTGCTCTTCGTCGTCGTTGTGTGTACACTGAACGGCTCATAAAGTTGATATGTCGCCAACATCATGATTTCCATGCGCAAAGGCACCAATGCGTCCGATATCGTGGGGTCGTCATGCAGGAGAGTCCAAAGAGGGTCAAAGGGAGGTCCAGTCATCGTCGTCGGCGTCCATCAAATCTCGCCGTTTCCCCAGAAGAATCTTCGAGCCGTGTCCCGCCCGTCTCGACTCGAACCGCCGTGACCATCTCCTGTTCCAGCGCCCCAATCGCATGATGGCCTCTTCCATATCCTCCATGCCTGCCGCATTGACTGCGCTCATCAACTTTGTTGAAATGTCGACCGCTACCGCCGTCGCATTAGTCGTTCATTATTTCGCCTCTTCACGTCGTCCATGTGCGCCGACCATGTGTTGAACCACTGCTCAAGTACGGCATGCCGATAACAGTTCCCTTTTTGCCAATGGTGGTAAGCCGTGGACGGGAAGATCAGTCGTCGTTCTGGCCAGAACTTCGAATCGTCCAGATGCCGGTGGAACAACTTCGGTATTACCTTATCGTGGCTCTTTTCGTGATAGAAATCCATCTGAGCTAGATCGTCGTCGATAAGACCGGCGCATTCCTCCAAGCTATCCTTCGCGCCGTGTGTAGCCATGTCGCGGGCGACATTGTCAAAGAGGACGCGTTAAGTCGGTAGATTTTGGACGACCCCGTGCAATGCAACCATCGTAGCAAAAGTTGGTGATCGACTCCCCCTTCACTCATACGCCGATATAACTCTTTTCAGTCTCTCTTGTCCGGTGCAGTTACGCTCCCCTTGCGATCTCCTCGCCACTTGAACCCAACACATCTTAATCTGATCCTGGAAATACAACCGCGGGTTTGTAACACGCATCAGTTTCGAAGAGCGTAACGTATCGACAGTGCAGTAGAAGGTGGTTGAAAAGGTGGGCATACCGATGAACGTATCCGAGTGAACACCGGCATCCGAAAATTGAATACAATCGTAGGTGATTTCTTGAGACGTGAGGATACATCCAGACGTAGTGAAATTTGCAGACGCAATCGATGGAGAATGTTGGAATCGCAAACTGGGTGCCGGACGACAAAGAATGACGGAGGTGGCGAAATCGAGTGTTCGGTCAACAAGGTCGCTACAACTGCTGGGTTGTTAGTGCACTGCCAAGATAGGTACCTACTTTTGCGACCGTCGCAAACTTCCTCGCCGAGCTTCCTTCGTTACAATAGCACCCCATTAACATCATTCCATAACCATGACGGGATGTCTCCTCAAGGTATATCGAACGGGTGAGACATGTTCGTTGGTCTTCCACCACAAGAGGCTGAAGCCATGACATCCTGCTTCATTAGTGGTTTGATCATTGACGGCCGTGTCTGCCATCCGAAGAAATCGCATGCAAGTCCCATATACACAATCACCGCCATGCAAAAGCAGTGATGAGCCACTTTCGCATGCCATTGAAATTTGATGGCCATGAGGCAGAACAGATCAGAAACCCCCAGCGCAAGCCTCTAGCAAGACATGCCCGCTGTCGGATGTCATCCTGCGTAGACTTCATGCCCTGCCACACTCCGCCAAAGAAATTCCAGCCATTCCTTGGTCCCTACCACTGGATGAGTGGCTTGCGTCCGGTCATCGCTCACGATGGTGGCTTGACCAAGTGCCACAACATGTCGTCGATCTCGGAGATTGGTCCAGGAAGTCACACAAATCAACGTGATATGCTGTAACACCCAGAACCCCTCGTTTGGACAGCTTCCGGACATTCAAAGCATCCCGTCAGGCCTTATCTAGAACTTGATCTTATAAGGGTCCAGAAATGCCAAGCCAACTGATTTGGTGGGTAGGGTAAACGAAACCTGCGGTTGGCACGCTGTCGAGTGGACATCGGTCGGACGATAGTGTGGTCAGGGTCTACTGCCTCCAGATGTGTGTGAGTCTCAGAAGAACATCGGTATCAGATGAGTTTCCAGGGGGTGGTGCAAAGCTCCAGATCGGTACTACCCCAGATTTCGACTGGGGCAGAATTTCACCCCGGGGTTACCTCGGCCATCGGCCAGAGGTTAAGGCCCGTCTGTAAGTTCCAACTTGGAACAACATCAACTTCAACACCATCCATCCCGGGGAACATGAACCGTCAAGGTACTCCAAGGGCTGCTATGTCTTGTCGAGAGACGTAAGCTGGTGGTGGCCCAGCACAGCACGTCAATTGTTCTTTTTACAGTCCTCCATGAATGCGTGTGGGCCGATGCATCTTCTCGATGTCACTCACCTGACGAAATTTAATGATATAATAACTGCCTCTGGAGATGACACCGAGGTAACCGGCGGAAGGCCTGTCCGGGGCCGGGTCCGGGGCGGGTTGTCTGGGTAAGGTGTGCTGTGTTGGTAATCCTTACTCCGGGCTGAGGTTTCGGGAAACGGGCGGTTCATCCGGACTGAGACAGGAAGGTATAACGAAAAGGGCGAGAACGTGGCCGGCATCCAAATCCGCGACGGGACGGTCGCAAAAGAAACGGGCATCCAACGTAACGGGGCGGGTATTCGGGACTGGGCGGCAAGGTGGGGCCGCCCTTCCAGTGCTCCAAAGAGTTTCCACACAACCGGCGGCCGGCAAGCGAGACCATTGCAACGGGAGAGACATGTGATGAGAAGGGGTCTCGCCGACGCACACATCTCATCTCATGAATGAGTTCCCATTCCGGCCTCACATTTTTTGGGCATCGGTATGGTTTTCTTGAGGGGCAATATGGCGCGTATGCGGTCTTTCCCAAGGCCGATATCCGTACACCAGATCTCCGGACTTCAGAGTCCTGATGCGGATTTCAGCTTTGGGTTTGACCTTTTTAAAGGAAAAGGAACGGGCAGTCGGACGGGAAAGACCCAAAGAGGGACGGGAGGGTTGCAGGACAAAGGGGCAGGACACAGCATTAAAGAATCCGGAACCGCATGCCCGCACCGGCAGAGGCCGTAGAGGTGCAGGGTCACAGAACGGAGCGATGGCCACGCCACGAAATGCGGGATTGGGGGGGGGGGGGGGGGGGGGGGAGCAAAAGTCGGTAAACATGCGGTATGGCATGTGGCATCAAGACATAAATTGGGCTTGCCAGCGAACTGTGTTCCATTTGTGCCCAACCCTTCCAGAGCTTCCACGTTCTCCGAATCACAACCAGCTCCGACTTGTTCAGGGGAGCTCCTTGCACCAATCACCTTTGGATGGCCTTTGGGGGTCGTCGACAACACATCTTGCATTCCCAGCGAAACACGCCGTCTTTGGCAACTAGTCTCTGCCATTGCCCAACGCTGGTGCCCTACTTTTGGCCGTCCACAGGTTATCCCGTGGAACCTACACACCGTCAATGCCGTTTTGGTGAGCCTCATCCTCGCGATGTTTGGGTGTTTTGACACGACGACACTCATCCGGGCAACCAGGCCAGCTTCCCGCGGTTGACATGTCAATGGAGTGGCTGACACCATCGGGATTCACTCCGGACGACGCATCACCACCAGCAGGAGCACTCCTCCGCCGTACAGATGCTTCTGCCCTGCAAGCGCAGGCCACCCTCTGGCTCTGGAGAACCGAGGATTGCGGCGCAAAATCAGATGTCCAGGGTGTCCCGGCAGCCAAGAACAACGACCAAGCAAAGAAGTGCAAAAACCAAAAAAAAGCCTGCACTCGCTCGTCCTGCGGTTTGACTTTGTCGACTTTTGTTGGCGACCCGCCATCATCGCTACGTCTTGTTGCTCATCATCTTCCGTTCTCGTCCACACCCGATTGCTTTGTGCCTTTGCACGAGTCAGAAGAAACATCCCCCACGCGCGCTTGCTGGCGATCCAAAGTTGACATCGCTCGCTTGTGTCTTTTTGCTGACCGGGAAACGGGGCGTGTGATTGCACGTGTGTGTGTCGTACTCTCGGCCTCCCAACTGCCGGGGCGCACCGGCCAGGATATCGTGTCGCGCCGTATCCGTGCTGCTCGCTGTCGTGACAGCATCAACCTTGCCACACGCTCCCAACTTGGAGGTGGATTATGTCACCATCGTGGGCCCAGCCCTCTGGAGTCTCTAGGGTCTTCTTTATCTTTGTCGTCTTCGTCCGAAGGAAGAGTGCCAGGACACGCCGCTGTTGATCTCGGGTCCGGTTCGCGATCAGAAAAAAATACCTAGGAATCCACTTGTGCGCACGCCGCCAAGCTGTCAAACCCGCCCGCGTGTTTAGTTGAGTCGCCAGCGAGAGCCCTACCGGACCCCTGGATCATTGCGAATCCGCCGAAAAGATCTGATAACCCGGTGAGGTTATCGCCAGCTCCGTTTCGTGGATCCTTCTGGAGTTGGAAAGATTTCGGTGGCCGGTATCCCAGGAAATCCTGGCCGCAGGCTTTTTTCGGTTTTTGCCGTTTTGCTGGACGAATATTTTTTTTTCCTCTCTCCTCCTCTGCCAATTTGAACACTCCTGCGGGCCATAATATTTTGAATTTTCCGTGTTGCGATTTTTTTGCGCTCGCCAAGTTTTGCAAGAAAAAAAAAGAGAACTTGATAAAATACCACCATTTTGGACGGGCGCCCTTTCAACAAGAATTGCATCGATCTTTCGGAAATCCCATTCCGACAAATCAGCTATAGGAAAAGACTAAAGATGGCACAGCCGGACTTTGCTTATTACCGCACGTCGGCCGTTGTGCCAAGTGACCCTTGGCTCTCTACGCGCAGGTGGGAAAATACAGCCTAAATCCCCAAAACATGACCAACCGTCACATCATCCCTCCTTTTGGGGAAATTCGGGGCGCATCCAGAGCTAACTAACCGAATGCACCAAAAGCCCGCTATACAACGACGATACAACATCGTACCAGCAGCACACCAACACCACCTCGTTCGACGTCACCAGCAGGGGTCCCTATCGGCCGCATAGGTAAGAAATCGAACCACCACCTGCCTCCATTCAGCGAGAATATCCCCGTCTTCAGAGGAATGCCGGAAATAACACTGAAGTGAAAAGCGTGGCCTTCTCGACAAGCGGAAATGTCTCGACGTTTAACCTGCCAACGACCGCCGTGTCGATGACGGCGCTAGGCAACGGCCTCGGTCTTGGAAGCAACCTAAAGAGCCAGTACAACCTTGGACGAGCCGGACCCGACCACGTCTACCACGCCGCCGCCGCGCCCACCCCTCAGCTTTACAACCCCCGACCAGCCCCCGTTGACCCATACACTAGCGCGCCAGGCCACGGCGCCGCCCACGGGCACCTTAACGGGCAGTACCGGAGCACCGGGCCCAACCTCAACCTCAACCACACACAGGGGGGATGGGGTGATCACCACCTCCCGGCGTCGTCGTCGCGGTTCGCCTCGTCGTCATCGGCGGACTCGGTCGACGACATCCTGGCTTCGCCCAGCCTCTCCGACTACTCGCTCGACAACCCCTCGCTGTCAACAGCACCCTCCAGCAAGCCGGGCGGCAACAAGAACCACCATCAGAACCACCACAGCCACAATCATCATCACAACAACCACAACGGTGGTAACGGTAACAACAACCGAGGTAGCCGCTCTCAGCGTCGCCCCTCCAACCGGGACGAGTTTGACGGGCCGCACCAATTCCTTCAGCGTCCTCCGCCGGAATACATCGCCATGCAAGAGCGCGAGCTCCCCCACCTGCCGACCAACCTCCTCGTGCAAGAACAGGACTCCGTCCTGACGCAAGTCAACGACCGGCTCTCCCAGTGCGCCTACGACTTTGTAGCCAAGTACCAGTTCCCCATCCCTTTGACCCAAGACATGCGGCCCGTCGAGAGACCGCAGGACCGCGAATGGACCGAGTGGGTGTACCTTTTGAAGAGACTGGCTACCAAGCGGAGAATCCCCGCGCGGGTGCTGTATAACGGGCAAATCAAGCAGTTTGTGACGATTTTGGAGAACAGTCTGGAGATGAGGCACGCGGCTAAGCATCAGAGTCGTCCGTTGAAGGACGATCGGAATATCTTGCAGCTGATCAGTGCGGGGATTCAGGTCGCCAAGATCCTCAAGGATGCGCCGGCTATGGACTTTTTGGATAAGCTGTATGTGAGGACGGAGCAGCAGATCCAGGAACGGGCGGCGGCTGCGGCGGCCAGGTTTCGCTGAGGGCTTGGGGTGGGTGGGGTGAAGCGGGAGGTTGTGAAGGTTGAAGATGATGGATGCCCTTACTCTCGAGTGGGAGTGGATGATCCTTTACACCTACACCTTTACTTACAGTACCTCTCTGCGACTTCACCAGCTTGATTTTGAATCCTTGGTTCTGCTTTTTATGCGCGTTTGGTCTGGTTTGGTTATATCCCCCTACAGGACTCCCCTTTTGGATCTGGATCTCAAGTTTGCTTTATTATTATGGTTGCATCATTGGTCAGGAAGATACACGGGAGAAGGAACGGCCGCGAGGCTATATATATATAGAAGGTTTGGTCATGTAGCATCCACTCGGTCGGATGCACTTTTATTATACCTGTTTCTCTTCTTTTCTTTTCCGGTTTTTTTTCTTTCCTTCTTTTCCCCCCTTTTTTTTTCTTTTTTTTTTTTTTTTTTTTTTTCGTTTGTTTGTTTTGCTTGAGATTCTGCTTTTGGTTTTTAGAAGAAGAACCCCAGACGGACACAACATTGTCTCGACAAATCTACAGGAGGTTATATCTACGCCAAGGACAAGTCCAGGAAAGGCTTGTCGGCGAGCTTTTGTTGGAATTCTGGTATGGAAAGGGATGGGACAGAACCAAGGACAAATATGCCTCTAAATGTCTGTCCAGGATGATCAAAGTTACCTAGGGAAAGAGGGGGGGGGGGGAAGTGAGGGAAAACAGCAAAAAGAGGAAAACACCTTGGATAAATGAATTTGGGATTGGAGACGGGAAAAGCGCATACTGGTTGGATATAAGCAAGGAAGGAAACGGATAAAAGAACTGTCGATATACCTCACTCATCTCATCTCATCTCAGCTCGGATATGGAAATGGATATGGAACACCTTCATTGGACAACTTGGACTCGGAAAGAGACGATGCTCGGGGTATAAGGGGTGGTATTGACGTCATCTTTGCCTTCCTGTATCTTTGGGATTCCCCTCTCGTGGTTGCTATAGGTTCTCTTGATGTACGCTGTGCAATTAAGTGAGGTGCTGGGTGGGGTGGGTGTTAACGTACCCAAGTGTCTTGGGAGGGTGGTCTTTTGATACTGTTAGTTATTGGCTTTTAAATGACTTGGCCTTACAGTTTGATAATTCGAGATTGCTGCTCGCTCGTCTTCTGCAGTCTTTCCTTCACACCCACAGTCACCTCACCAACCATATGAGCTTGCTTCAGGCCCTGCCCGCTCTACGCTACATACTCCTACCGAATAACAACAACCGGCCCGACCTCGTTCGTTGTGTAGCACGGAGTATATCTCACCACCTCCCTTGACTGCCTACATGTCCTCCTTCCTTGACTGCCTTTCTTACCGAACCAGACTACCTCTACCGATTACTGGTTGCCACACTCCTTTTGCCACTGTCACTGCTCAATGTCGTGATTACAGGTTGTGTTGTGTTGTGTTGTGTTGCCTTACCTGTCATGTCATTCTTACTGCCTTTTTCCATCTTCTCACCTCATTTGGGCTTATCTAAAGGGAAGGAACCCAAGTCTGCGATGATGAGCTGCTTTGTTTCGGCTTTGTTTCGGCTTTGTTTATCGAGGTCTTTTCAAAGAGATACTTACGACATACAGGGGGGCCTTGCTTGAGTCTCCTGTTTGTATGGTATGCCCATGGTTGGTGCTTAGTAGTCGGGTTAACACCATTATGAAAATATATGACAAAAGACTCACGAGTACAGTCCCGAAATGCAGGTAGAGAGAGAGGCAAAAGGTCAAAGGTATGCGACTACTCTATCGCCATAAAAGCTCCTCGGCAGCCGTCAAACGCAACTGGGTAAATTGACGGTTAACCACTATGTGCCGATGTATGTGGTGGACGACATTCCCTTGAAAGTGGAATTCTTCAAGTTTTTAAGGTACCATATTATACGCTCGTTTAGCACAACGATGAGGCTCAGCTTCTGACTATCCTTCGTTGGTTCCTAGATTTTGCCCCATTTTTTCGTGATGCTGAGTAGTTATTCATTGAAGTCAAACTCGTAGTTGATGACACCACGATCAAGTTTCTAGTTGGATCTTACATGACACCTATACCATAACATGTTCAAGCCGAGGCCGAGGCGAGCGGATATAAGAACGTGTGGTTTAAATCTGTGGTGTAAGTCGTGTTTTGGTGTGTAGTGTATTGTGTGCCGTGGGGAAACACAGCATGTCCACCTGGTCCTTGTCCTTGCCCTTTCTTTGCAATGAATCCATGATGCCTAACGCTGGGTATACTAGGTGTGGGCACGCTTGAGATGGTGGCACCGTGGGGGCAAGTTGGTGACCGAGAAGTTCAAGTACCTAGAGGTAATGAGAGATGTTGAACGGATTCTTGATGTTCAAAATTGATCTTGGCGTTTTTTGTTTGTTAGTACTTGTAGGTGTTGGTCATCATCACCGCGGTCGTCATCATCGGCACCAGGGGATGTGGTCGTGTGTAAGTCGCGTGTGAGTGATAGTTGATCGAGGCATTGCTGGCCTTGGCGGGCTGTCCTTTCACAGTTCATCAGAGTAGCAACCACATGTCATTGTATAGATGCTGAACAGAATTCTAGACACTTTGTTCCATTGAACCTGTCCGCTCCGCCTTAAGGTACTGTCGTTCATTCATTCATTCGTTGAGACAAACCCTGACTCGATGCCTCCGGAAGTGTTGGGCTCAGATGAAGGTAGGACGGATTGTTTGCTGAGTCGAGTGACGTCGCCCTGGATTCCATCTGTGGTAACCTCGTCTCCACGAAATCTGTCCGTCCGTCCATCCATGGACGTGTTGCGTTGCAAGCAAGGGGGATCCAGGAAAGTGAAACGAAAGCGACAAAGCTAGTGGAAAGCCTCGGTGTGTAGTACGGTAAGATCAGTACATGAAAATGGAAATGGTACAGTAAAATGGTAGGGAAACCAGAGGAAAGAGATGGAGGCCACTGGCTAGTGGGAGGAGGCGCGGTTCAAATAGTGGCTGTTGGAATCGGTATCCAATCGGGTATAGCGCCGCCAAGAGGGGTTGGCTTTTCATCCTTCTTCCTTTCCTGACTTGCGCATCGAGACATTCCCCCCCCCCCAATCTGTCCCCAATGTCCCCTCTCTGGATGACACCTCGCCCACCTCATGTCCCTCCACATGCCTCCCGCAGAACACACCCAAGGGTTGCGCATCCCCTGGTAACAGGGCGGGCTGAGTGAACCAGCCTTCGACTCTGTCCAATAGGAACATGATGGTGACGATGATCTGGAGGAATGGGCATGCAGGTTGCGCATCTGTTCGGTACCCTGAAAAGGTTAGTTATATCGTCTGGTTTGTTGAAGACGGGTCTTTGACACTCTTGACACTTCTCTCGATACAAGTTTGAAGCCACTCCCGGCCTGTCTACCGTGTACAACATTGTATCCCATCGGGTTCAATCTGTCATGGAGGGGTAGATCTCAAGCAGGCAAACGTCTTGTCTCGGCTTTGACTGACCTGTCCTTGACGACGTCAGGTCAGGGTCTCTTCAGAACCAAAAGGACTCGGGAAAAAAACACTGATCTTTTTTGTGTTTCCAATATCTGATTCATCTTCCTCGTTTCCAGTTCTTCAACTCACTTCTCGTTCCCATCATTCTTCCCATCGCCCTCTTTTCACAACCCTCTTGACTCTCTGAATGGGCATGCCTCGGTCTTGGTAGCTGTCGTGACTCGACTCTGCCCTTCCACACGTCCTGCTGCGACACCTCTCCTTGGTCTTGAACACTCTTGATACGGCAAACAAGAAAATGACACTCTGTTTAAAGGAGCATTCCATGAGCCATTGATCTTGCGTGCTGCGGCATCCCAAGCTCTCGCTGGATATAAGAACGAGGATTACATCGCACAGAATCCCGAATCCGTTTCACCTTTCTATACCACTTTCGAATAGACCGTTTAACAAGCTTCAAAGAGTTCAACTGTCCAGATCATCACCGCAACACAACATCACACTAGCGTACCACCCTACGTCCACAAAGCCATAGACAACAGGCTCTTTACGTTTCACCAACCGAGGTCCTAGCCAACGCATCTCAAGGCGTCCAAGACCCCGAGCCCCTAGAGCAAGGAGGTTCCCCGTTCAAGGAAATCCCAAAGATCGCCTTTCCAACCGCCAAAGTGGAGGAATCAAAGAACGAAGCCCTCGACACTACGAGGGCTACTGACAAGGGCAAAGGCCGCGAAACCATAACACCACCCGCCGAAGCTGCTCCCTCGGAAACCATGTCTACTGCACCCCTCATGAGCTACTCACCCTTTCAGGGACATCATGGTAACCCTGAGCATGAGCAAGCTGAATGCGAACACAACTACGAGTATGGTCATCAGCATGACCACGCCCACACCCACAGCCCCCAACATGGATATGCCCCCGAGTCCATCGGCGGTGACTCGGATTTTGAACAACACGCTTGGGCTTTTGTCAATGTCAGCCCCGATACCGGTACTTTGGGCGGCCTTCAGGCCAGCCCTGTCCAGGGTAGTCTAAGCTCTTGGACCAATGTTGAGGGACAGTTTGGCGGCGGTTTAAGCCCCCTGCCAGCTGCCTTGACTCCAGATGCCTTGTCTGGCTCGCCCGAAGGTGGTTACCAATTCTCCGCTGATGATTTCTCACAATTCGATGGGTATACCTTCGACAACATGGACATCAACTCTATTCTGTTTCCTCATCCGCAATATGAACAAGGTATGGCTGCTGTGGGACCATCTGAACAGCCTGCCAGCCACCAGAACCAACAATCACAGAACTTTCAGGACGACTTTGACCTCCACATTGTCTTGTCCGATGTTAATGTCCCACCCTGGGATCCTCTTCATCCTGGTGGCCTCGAGCTCGGGTACATGGAAGAAGTCCCCTCCCCCTTCAACATGGAAGACTTTAACATCGAGATCGGCCCAGGTGCACTCAGTTCCAGCCCACCAGAGAGTATCAACAGCCACACCTTGAGCCATCACTCTGCCCCAGAGGATGCTCCTCACCTATCCGTTCAAGTCCAGCAGCGGTACCCAGCTCCCTCCATCCCCGTTCCGGGCCCCTCCTCATCTTCGCACGCGACCTCCAAGCCCACTGCCATCCATAAGACCCGTGGCAATGCTCGCGTTCAGAAGAAAAAGGTACCACCCAGCCCGTCTACAGTCACCTTCTCTTCCACATCCTCCGGCAGCGTGACCGTCAACATCTCCGGTGAAAACAAGTTCGTCGTCATCACCCCGCAGTCCATCAGCCAGAACGCTGCTAAGGGCAGCAGCGCGGCCTTGTTCGGCGGTAAGGACGCCGAGGGAAGCAGCCGCACCACCCTCAGGGGCCGCAAGGGTCCTCTCGCCATCTCCACCGCCGTTTCTGCCTTGCAAGTCCGCCGCATAGGTGCCTGCTTCTGCTGTCACGCTCGTAAGGTGTCGTGCGAGGAAACACGCCCGTGCCGGCGGTGCGAGAAGCTTAAGCTCACTGTGCCCGAGGTGATCTGCTGGCAGTTCAGCGACTTCACCGAGGTCATCTTTCCGGGATGGCTGAAAGTACATCTGAAGCGGGAAGGCGCTAAGGGAGCAGAGGAGTACGTAAGGGAAAACGTTGCCTCTTTCTTGGTGCGCTTCCGGGAGGACGAAGAGGAGAACTCCGAGAAACCGATCAAATTGCGTCTGACTCTCGGCCGTGGCTTCAACAAGGATGCTATGCTCACCGTGTTTGCCAAGTTCTTCACTCCCACGCCCAACGCCCCCGACGCTACGAGGTGGTACACCGTGCGCGAACACTCGCTCGGGGCGGGCCACGGGCTCGTCCTCGAAGAGTCCCCGGCAACGCCGATTGCGCTGCCGTATGGCTGGCTCGACCAGCGCGAAGAACTGCGCCGGCATCTGCGCCAGTTCCACGAGGGACTATATAACGAAGACCAATGGGCTTACCTCCTCACACAATCGTGCGAGCATACTACCAAAATCCCCAATCGGGTGCTTCCTATTTTGCGACGATACGCCAACGAATCTCGCAACGGCATGGTCAAGCGCGCGCTGCAGATTCTGACCATGAACTACACCATGTCTTACCACCTGCACCTGGACCCGGAATCCGTGCACGCTATTGAGGTTGCGGGGTATCGGGTGCCTGAGGGCTTGGACAGGAAGGTTCTGACGGCCAGGGTGCTCAATAGGCAGCTGAAAGCGGTGACACACGACATGATTGAGCGTGAGGTGAGGAGGCTGTTTGAGGACTTCAGCAAGGCGCTGAAGCCAAGATCCCGCAAGGAATGGGCGGGCTGCTTTGCGGCGTTTGCGGCGCTCAGTGTGTTTTTGGAGTATAAGGAGGCACAGGCGGACGCGTATGTGGTTATGGAGAATGAGGTCAAGAAGAGGGATTGGTTGTATAAAGTTCAGCAACGGCAGCAACAGCAGCAGTACCATCAGCATCAGCAACAGGAAGCGGAAATTATTATGGGCAGGAAAGAGGGGGGTATCGAGGACATCGGGGAGATTGAACAAGGCATGGACCAGTTGAAGATGGACTTTACTCGCAGACAAGCCTGGGATACACTCGAGGCGATCGACAACTTGCCGTTCAGGCAGTTCATGTATCAATTTCACCAAATTTATCAAACGCATCCGTCGACGGCAAAAGACGGGAAGGCGTTTAACCCATTCGTGGATGATGAGGCGTTGGAGAGCCTGAAGGAGTTCCCGGATGGCGAGGCGGCCATCTATATGGTGAAGACATTCCGGGATCGGTTCTTTGACGTTTCGGATGTTCGTAAGTTTTGCCCTTTTCCTCTTGAACCCCGTATCTCTGCCGTGGAAAAAATCCGCCTTCCGCTCTCACCACCATCCCATCTTCCCCTCCATGACTTGTATGGTCTCTGGCCTCTTGGACGGCTCCAACCTTGGTAAATTCATACACCTTGAGCGAACCTTAACATTCAAGCCATGTCCCACATATACTTCCTACCCTCCTTCTCCATTCCCTCTCAGGTTTTCCTTTGAACCCTTCACCCGTAATCTTCCAATTTCCCCACTTTCCAATCCCACCCATAAGCACCGATTTTCTCTTCTACCAAAGCCAATACTCCCAAAACACCAACTAACAACACCCGCAACCGAAACAGGCCACGAACTCGACTTCCTAACGTTCGACCCCAGCGGTCCTCCCAAAGAGAACGTCGACCCTTTCACCGATCCCGCCAATAAAAACAAGACGAGCCTCTTCCACTTGTTCACCGGTCGACTTCTCTCCAAGTTCTTGCTTTCGTTCATTGACGAGAGAATGATTATGGGATCTACCGGTTTCACCGGCGGTGGTGGTATGTGAATTGTGAAGTGCGCGGTGTTGTGGGGTATGCTATGTGATGTGAAGGGAAACAAGGGGTTAAGGTATGGATGGAATACGAAGTACGATACCAAGGGGTATGGCTTGCTAACTTTCTACAACTAGCCTCTGTTACATTCGTCCTGCTCGTTCTTGTTTTTTTCTTTCTTCTCACCCACCCTTGTAAAATCCCGACCTGAACTGACCACAATTCGCCTATCGCTAGGCAATGGAGGAAACGAGGGCGTAACAGTTGCTTCGAACCTTGACAGCACCAGCGGGGTAGAGAGCGACTATGAGAGCGGAGACGAGCTTAACCCCAACGTCAACAATGACAACGAAGACGACGACAAGGGCGATAACACCGGTGGGAATGTCTCTGTTATTGATGACAACGAGAAAGTCAAAAACAGCGACAACAATGACCCCAGAGAGATGATCGGAGAAGCTGGCTCGCTGCGTGTCTTCCTCAAAGTCATTCTCTTTCCGAGTCTCGCTGCTTTCTTTGCGGGCTTTGCTTAAGGCGTGGAGCGTTGGATTTCTCATCGGCTGGGATCACACAAGACGGAATAGCGGGCACTTGGGCATGGGCATGACTGGTTGCGTTTGCATTGCGTTGCGTTCGATCGAGCAAAGAGTTTCGGAGTTCAGGGGTGTCGAACCGAGGAGAGGTCGGAGTTTCGGGTGTCATTTTTCCTTCTTTATGTTGTCTTCAAAAGGACATATAACACCTGGCTGGTGATGCTTGAGTGGCTGTTGTATTCAGCAACGTCTATTTCTGCTTACCTCCCTCACCCAGGGAATGACTCGCAAAAAGAAGAAAAAAAGATGGGGCCACCCGGGGATTGAACCCGGGACCTCTCGCAAGAATGCTCAGGATTGAACCCTAAGCGAGAATCATACCACTAGACCAGCGGCCCGTTTGATTTATGATGGTAACACTTGCCAGTATTGGTACCTAAGAGCAGACTCGGAGCTGCTCAGCACTGGTATGACCAGTGTGAATGTGTACAGTCATGGTAGAATAATTAGGGTTGCGAGCAGAGATATCCTCCACCCCAACGGTAGGGCTCGGTGAGACTCGAGCCAACCTTGACTCTGAAGAAGATAAAAATCGCACGACTCGCAGGTGTCTTTGAGATGCGTTGAAGATCGATCTTGGTTCGCGTGGGCGAGTGTAGATCATTTCTTTCCTAGTTGATGCGAATGCGGTTGGCCTTGTTGAGGTTGGATTGTGTCGTCCAGATGGTGCCTTGGTGGATCCCCCTGGTATTAGTGTTAGTGGTTTTTCGGGATGAACCGACAGGGTTGGCAGCTGATGGTGTGCAACAACATTTCAGTCCAGAACAACGACGATGTGGATATCGCGCTGCCTCCATCTTGCACGTTGAACCGTGACATCTCCAACACACAGGATCGGGCAGATTCATCGGACTGAGAGTCGCATCCCATTTGATGTCACAATGTCCCTGGGACATGTGCGATCGCTTAACAGACGCCAACCCCTGGAAAGCCGAAATGCCAAGCCTGAAGCTATTGAAGGCCAAGCAGCTCAAGATGATGTCATTGCCCGCTGTTGCCTCTTCTTTCACCTGCAGTGCCCATGACGGGACTTGTACAGAGAAAACAGGAATAATAGATTGCGGCTACCCTTGCATTCGAGTAACATTGGACCTCGCGGCGCGTGAGCAGACTCGGCAGTGACACGAACCACTTTCGCTGATCAAGGAACCGAACCCAACCAACGGCCACTCCTTTTGAAGAAGATCAAATCCATCATTTAGACTTACCTTGTTAAACACCAGAGCAAGAGCTCTCCCACTACAGTTGGCAAATTCATCTGGGGAGAAACATGTTCCGTCGCCAATAACCCGTTACCTAACCAGCCCAACAACGCAGCAGGTGCACTTGACGTAAAGCGTCTTCTTTCATGCGTCACAGTCGCTGGTGGTACCATTAACTCGTCATATAATATCAATCCTCCCACAGCAAGACGCGCGCTACGTCCAAGCACCGCGACCATCATAACGAGCATCTTCCTTGAAGAGAGATACCCTCGGGCCCAAGCCCTCCAAGCATCACAACACGATGGCTACCGCTTTCGAAACGCAACCGCTGGTTGCAACAACCTCGGATACCTCCGACCCAGCCCCCGTCAAGCTCGAAACAAGCACGAGTCCGACCGGTGCCCAAGTCACTGTCATTCGCGACGCCAAGGGTAACCTTCTTTACCCTTCCCATGTTCCCCCTGAAACCCAGTCACCGAGCTTCTCCCCAGCCATTCCCCCCACGTCGCAGAACAAAAAGCAAGACCAAGCGAACCCGATAGACAAAGTCTCAGAATCGCCAGGACTGCGAAAAACCCATACCGAACCCATCAAGCGACCCATGAACAAACAATGGCAGACCGAGGCACCGAGACAAACCAATAGACAAGACTCCTTCGCCGTACCGGCTATGAAGCGCGCCGGGACCAACACATCTCTGTGGGATCCCAGGGCACTGCACGCCTTTGGCGACAACTCGGATTCCAGTAGCGAGTCCTCGTCGGATGAAGAAGAGCATGCCCCTGGCCACAAGAAGCCCCTCTTTCGGAAGAAACAAGCCGACAAAAAACAGCATGAACGACACGGCCACTTTGGCAAATTCAATGTTGGAAATGAAAACTACAGGACAAAGGGCAGGGTCTCCAAGCGTGATGGCCGCCTCAACATCTCGGTCAACGACACGAGCAGTACGGGTTATCTAGCAAAGGCCCTGGGAATGGCAGCCAAGAAGGTGATGCCGGCAAGGGGCGAAAATTCCAACAAGAACGCTGAGCAAACCAGAAAGACTTCGGTCGTGTCACGACTCTCCACGGCCTCGACTACGGCCGGTCCAGACAAGATTTCCTGCCCAAAGCTAAACATTGTCATTATGGTCATCGGTTCCCGCGGCGATGCGCAACCCTTCTTGAAGATTGGAAAGGTTCTAAAAGAGCAATACGGCCATCGCGTGCGTATCGCTACACACCCTGCCTTTCGCGACTTTGTCGAGAAGGATTCCGGCCTCGAGTTCTTTTCCGTCGGCGGCGATCCAGCAGAGCTCATGAGCTTCATGGTCAAGAATCCCGGTATGATCCCGACTCTGGAATCAGTAAAAGCTGGCGACATCGGAAAGCGACGTGCCGCCATGGCGGGCATGTTTCAAGGTTTCTGGCGAGCTTGCATCAATGCCACCGATGACGAGCGGGATGTTCACAACCTCAAAATGATGGGACGCATGGACCCCTTTGTAGCCGATGCCATCATCGCCAACCCTCCCAGCTTTGCCCATATCCACTGCGCCGAGGCGCTGGGTATTCCCGTCCATTTGATGTTTACCTTCCCATATACCCCCACCCAAGCGTTTCCCCATCCACTTGCCAGCATCAAAAAGTCCAATGTCGACCCCGGCTATACGAACTGGATCTCCTATCCTCTAGTCGAGATGATGGTTTGGCAAGGTCTCGGCGATTTGGTCAATGACTTCCGCGTCAAGACACTCGGTCTCGATCCCGTTTCTACCCTCTGGGCCCCCGGTGCTACCTACCGTCTGCACGTCCCATTCAGCTACCTCTGGAGTCCCGGTATTGTCGCCAAGCCCGAGGACTGGGGCGACGAGATTGACGTATCCGGCTTTGTCTTCCTCGAGCTGGCTTCTACCTTCCAACCTCCCGATGACCTAGTTAAATTCCTCGAAGCAGGCGAGGCCCCTGTTTACATCGGCTTCGGATCCATCGTCGTTGACGACGCAGACAGGTTCACGCAGATGATCTTCGATGCCGTCAAGCTAGCCGGTGTGCGCGCCCTCGTCTCCAAAGGCTGGGGTGGTCTTGGTGGCGACAGTCTCGACGTTCCCGAGAACATCTACATGCTCGACAACACACCGCACGACTGGCTCTTTCCCCGGGTGCGCGCCTGCGTGATTCACGGTGGTGCAGGCACCACTGCTATTGCGCTCAAGTGTGGTAAGCCGACCATGATTGTGCCCTTCTTTGGCGACCAGCATTTCTGGGGTGCCATGGTGAGTAACTCCAAGGCTGGCCCGGAGCCTGTGCCGTACAAGAGTCTGACGGCGGAGAAACTCGCCGACGGAATCAAGTACTGTCTCACCGACGAGGCTGTGACAGCCGTGGAGGAGATTGCTCATCGGATCAGTGAGGAAGGCGATGGTGCCGAGAATGCTTGCAAGGCGTTCCACAAGGGCTTGATGCTCCATGGTGACCGGTCGATGCGGTGCTCAATTCTGAGAGATAAGGTGGCAGTCTGGCAAGTCAAGGGGAGCCCGACAGGTTTGAAGCTGAGTGCCATGGCTGCGGACCTCGCGGTCGAGAAGAGACTCACCTCGTGGAAGAACTTGAGGCTGCTCCGTCATGTCGAGTGGAATGACTTTGAAGGACCTGGTGAGCCGGTGACGGGCGTGGCTGGCACGGTTGTCTCGACGGTAGGCGATGTGTTTTCGGGAATTGGTGGAGTGCCAATCAGGCTGGGCAAGAAGGCCAAGCAGAGGAAGGTCAAGAAGCAAGAGAAGAGGGAAAGGCGGGAGAAGAAGTTGAAGGCTCGAGAGGCTAGATTGGAGGGGAAGGGGAAGGCCAAGGAGAAGGGCAACTCAGCAGTCAATGGCGAGAAGGTGGACAAGCCCTCTGAACAGCAAAACGAAACCATTCAAAAAGTCGAAACTAAAGATCACGCCGCCGCCGCCGCCGATGATAACAAGTCAGACGCCCAATTTTCCGGTCGATCAAGCGACTCCAAACCAGATGACGCCACCGCTGTCGACAACAACTCCAACGAGACCACCCCCGATTCAGGTCAATCACTCCCCAACATCACCACAACAACCACCAACGCCATCCACAACACGCGTTCCCGCTTCGACTCCCTACCCCCCTCCCCCTCTCCATCCCCCCTCCACGCACCCATCCGCCCTGCAACCGACCACCGCACCGACACCAACCTAACCACCATGACCACCACCACCAACGGCGGCGAATCGACCACCGACCCGGCCGAGGTCGCCGAGGAGATCGTCCACGAGATCGGCCAAGGCGCCATCAAGTCCGCCTCGGCCATCGCCCGCGCCCCCGTTGACC